GTTTTGGACAATTTAAGACAAAGGGGTTTTGGACAGGATGGTTTAAACCATGGATTAATCCATTCTGTCCTAAACCTTGCCAACTCTGAAGATTTATTAGTTTAAAAATAATCGAATTCTATAAAATTTTTATGCTTACGTGCATTAAGTAAATTTTTAAAAATAACTAACTTTTTATAACTAAGTTAAATGCAAAGTATCCCTATTGAATTATATAGCTTAAAATGAGGAACAATAATTTTTAAAAAAATCAATGAAGAATGCATGTTACAAGAAGTCCGCTTTCACAAAAAGTTTCTAAATCAATGTCATAAAATGCTGATCTTAAATAAAATTTTAAAAAATTTAAGGGAAATGCATTTTTCTAATGTTTTAGTAAGCAATATTACATGATATAAAAATTTTGAAAATTTTTTTTTCTTTTTACAATTTTAAAGCATGATGTTTATGAAGAAAAACTTATGTTGGTGAATACTGGTTAAGTTGTCCAAAAGAAAAATCATTTTACCAATTTTAGAAATCCTGCTACATCCTTCAAGAGAATGCACTTTCTGTTGACCACAATTAGTCAACCTCTTATTCTCTAACAATCTTAACTGCTCACTATTGAAATCAGCATTCAGCATTATCAATTAAGTCAAAAGCTATTCATTTCAATTTTTCCTTGTATCTTGCTAAAACTTGTGTTTTGGCAACTTTTTAGTTACTAACGTGTTTGAGTTTTATTGTTAGTTAAAGTTTTAAGTGTGAAAGAGAATACAGTGCTATGAAGAGACGTTTACTCTTTAGCATTAAATATGTGTATTTATGTGACCCCAAAATGGCAGGAGTTATTCAGTACTCTAATAGGAAGTAATAAAAAAAAATTATAGAATAAGGCAATTCTTAAATTTGAAGAAAAAAAGAAGTTTTGGAATAAAATTTTAGTTTATCAGTTTTGATTGTCGAAAAAAAGAAATTTCTCCTTAAAGCAGACTATAAATTGTAACTTTCTTTTTAGATATTTGTTTAGTTTTGCAAATTATGACTTCTTAATCTATTTTTTAAAGAATATAAGGAATAGTAATATGGTATTATGGTAATTAGTGCTGTTTTAATAAGTACCAAAAATACTAATATCGGTACAATTTTTTAAAGTAGCATATTTGATAGCTATTAAAACTGCCTCAATACAGGGCAGTTTTAATCTAAATACTGCAGAAAGTTTCTTACGACCCTACATCAATAGAGATAAATGCAAAAATATATATATATTGTTGTCAAAAACGTGTGTGAGATATAGCAAGCTAGGTTGTGTGGCAGATGGGAAAAGTTGCTATCATGCATCGTAAGCCCCTGAAAAGGCAAAATATAATAAGAAATATTATTAATTTAGCTTCATAATTTTGTGTTGGTATATGTCTATCAATTTTGTGCATGATTTTATTCACCTTATCTGTAGGCGGAGCTTATTTTCGCTTGCAGCCGTTATGGTCCGCATAAACTTCCGGAGCAACCGTAACTTATTTCTTTTCTAATATTTTTACTTAGGCTGATTCAATTATTGCTGATTAATGTGAAAAATTCATTTTTAAGAATGATACATACAAGTTAAATAAAGGTTCTTTGAATACATAAAAGTTAAAAAAGAAATAAAGGTTCTTTGAATACATGAAAGTTAAAAAAGAAATAAAAGTTCTTTGAAGTGTGTTTGTTTTTAAAGTCTTCTAAATAACTCAATATAAAGATCTATACGCAAACATTACCTGGAATTATTACAGAATAAAGATCTACACTTTTTCTTCTTTTTTTTTTAACATTGGTAATGTTTGTTTTTACTCAGTGATGAAGCCAAGGGCCCATGTTATCCCTCTCCTGAAATTTTGAGTTTTAAAAAAAGCATAATCTTAACAAAAAGAACTTTTCTGTACATATTTCTTAAACTTCTTCCAAGAATAATTTTTTATCTAATATATATAGTATTCTTTTGCTTTAAATTTCAATATTTAATCAAGCATAATTTAAAATAAAATTGATACTTTCCCACAATGTAATGTAAAATAAGATAATATCTAAATAGAGAAACATGACTTTCAACATTAAATAATTCAAATCCGTGTGTGCTATATTTGAAATATAAAAAATAAAATTACTTTAAACCAGAGGTGGCATTTTGTGTGGCACACAAAATCAATTTAAATCGAGAAAAATGTTATTTTTTAACAAAAATTTTGAAGATAAAGGAATTAATTAAAATTAAAACAATACAGAAACCACATTAGTGTCTGTATCTTTGAAAATAAAGATAACATCTGTGATATTTGCTAACTTATAGCTTTATTTGATCTAGAAAAAATTTTACTGTACGTGTAATAATTCAATGAACAACATTAGCATGGTAACCCTTATTGACTTAACATAAAATTTATATTAATAATTGCCATGTTCAAAATTTTTTACACTAAATGTGGTGCACAAGATGATCAGTGTTGACCACCCCCGCTTTCAACAATTAAAACTCTAAAGAAAAATAAAATAAATGCATTTTAAGAAAATTTGAAGTAACAAATCTCTTGTTTTTTTGTTTGCGTGCGTAATTGAAGATATTGCTTTTATTTAAGAAAGAAAAAAAAAATTCCTATATAAAATTTAATTTATCTCATTGTGTTCATTCCGTTTAAGTGAAAATAGGAGGCAATTATTTTTAACAGCTTCGGTGATTCTAAATTTTCTTATGAATAAATGACTTCAAAGCTAATGCAATGTTGTAGATATAGATATAAAATGAAAGTACGATGTCTTTTTTTTTAATTATATCAAAATTTTATCTCACATCCCTCTAAACTTGCTAAATTAAATAAAATATTATTGAATCGAAAATAGTATTATTGAACTTATTCCCTTTCAAACTCTGAAGTAGTTTTTCAAAAATATTGTAAATGAATATTTTCATGTCAATTTGAAAAAAAACTTTTTTTTTTTAAACTGTTTCTAAGTTTTTTAAATTACTTAAACAATTTTAAAAATTAATTAATAAAAAATAAACTTATTTTATTCTAAAAAATCTAATTTGAGATTTCAATAATACTACCAATAGTTTAGAAACTCTCTCCAGATCTGATATAAATTCATTAACTAATGTGGTTTAAATTAACGATGTCAAAAATCTTCGACTTAATGAAATTAGTCACAATTTCCAAACAAAATCAGAAAATTGAAATTTCCATGCAAAAACTTAAAATTTAAAAAAAGAAATTCTAAAGGTCATGCCCTATGAGCGAGTATAACTTCTTTAAAAAAAAAATTATAAAATTATTATTATGAGAACTTTGTATTTCCAATTTTTTGAATTAGGAAGCATCAACTTAAAGTCAAATCATAGGAAGAATGCAATTTTTAATGTAATTTTTTGTTCTACTGTATTATTCTATATTAAAATTATATTAAGTTTATTCAGATTCCTTCATCTGCTTTTTATTCAAGCTGATCAGAGATGAAGTCATATCACTTGATTCAGTGTTATTAATCAATAGCTCTTCCTTTCTTTTTTAGTTAAATTCAATTCTTTTAAAATTTGCCTTCTGATTCCAGTCCAAGTAAGAGTACAGTGAAACCTCACATTAAACACTCTTACAAAATGAACACCTTTCATTCTGAACATTTTTTGTTTAATTCCCCTGGAATCTTCTCTGAATAAACCATTATGTACCCTCACCGCAAAGCAGGTAATCCTTTAACTGGAAGCAGATAGTCATTTATGCCCCGAAACATTATTTTCAATCTCTTTAAACCTGACATCACTTTTTTTAAATTTGAAAAAAAAAGAAGAAAAAAAATTCTACTTTAAAATCCAAAAGAAAAAGTATGCATCTTCCCACCATTGTATTTTTTTGTCTTATCCACAAATAAAAATATTATTAAACTATTTCACTACTAAAGAATCAATCAATCTCGTCACCTTTCTTTATCTTAGTAAAGAAAGGAGAGAGAAATATGCTGCTCAAGTGAAATATTTTCAATAGCTGCATCTTTTCATCTGGACAACACAGCTTGAGACTGCAGGTTGACCCCCTTCCTAACTGAAAATTCCTTTCTTATCAATTTGACCGATCTACTTAACACAGCTGGGTTATGAAAACAGAACAAAAATCTAGTCATTGAGTTGTTCATATAAATTAAACATTTAGTCAGAATTTTGACTAATTTTTATTTGTCAATACCACAATTCCATATGACCTGGTACCTTACATGTAAGTACTGCCAAGCTTTTTTTTTTTCCTATGCATTTCAATAAGTTTACCTTCTAGGAGTGGCACAGCATGTCCTCATTTGGACCTTGTGCCACTGAACCCTACATTCAATCAATCAACCTTCTAGGAGTTATTATAATGACAATTTTATAAACACTGATGGGAATTTTGAATATCAAAAGAATGATTTACATATGGGCAAAATTGTTGAAATTGTTGCAAGAAATGACATCGAGATTGTTAATGAAGAAACTGATAGTCAAAATGCTTTCTGATAAATATATAAAAGTGCAAACTTTGCATGATTCTCAAACTTGTATTGAGGGACTGAGTAATTTTTATCTATCCAAGACTGATGAAATTTGTGTTAAAATATTGAATGATTTAAAAATGCACCATGAAGATATAGTAAATCACAACTGCTTAAAAGAAACTTCTTTAGTTTTAACTAGATAAATATAAAACAAATGCATGTATATGTATCAAAATTATTCACCTGTTCTTTTTGTACTGTAAATATTATAACTTTGTTATGTTTAAATAAATTTCAATGCAAACTATTATAGATTGTTTAATTATTTGTATATTATTGCTCTTAATATAAAAACAATTCATGGCATTAGACTTAGTAGTGTTCCCAGCCTTTCCATAAAAGGATAACTCTCATAAACTGACAATGTTTTTGGTCCCATGAGTGTCCACTGAGGTTTCACTGTATTTTGCTTATTTCTTAAAATATAACTATATTTAATATGCTTAACTTTTTTTCAGAGACACAAAACCAGTATTCAAGGCGCAAGTCTGTGTTTGCGGAACAATATAATCCAGAAGATGACGAGGATGATGATGTAGAAAGAGTGAGTATACTTTTTAAAAATTTTCAAAAGCAGTTGTGTGAAAATTTACCTTTTCAGTTGAGTACTTTCTGCCAAAAGCATTAAAATATATTAGTTGTGACTTTGACCAAGTAGTATGCACACTTTACAGTTCTTGTGATATAAGATTGCTCTAGTTAATATTTATTCATTTTGTTTTCGCTTAAAAAATATATATTTTAGCAAATTATATAATTTTAGAAGAAGGGCATAATTTCCTTTTTGCTATGACAAAAGACATTTCACTAGTACAATGCGCAAAATAAAAAACTGACTGTCCTGAATAATTTTTTATCTAATTATAGAATCTTTACATCCTATGACTCAATCTTAAAGATTCAAAGAGATGACTTCAAATGTGCTAAGTAATTAGTGTAGACGATATTTTAAGTTACAAATTCAGACACAAAAACTTACTTTCTCGGAATAAACGTACCTTTTCTTGACGGATTCAGATTTCTGACACCAAAAACATAGGAGGTAGTCGCAATCTGTGAAATATGCTCCCCATAGTCTGATCAAGAGAGCGGTCCAAAGTTTGAACCCTTTAATATTAATTTAATTTTTGCATATTTCACCATAACTCAAAAACTTTTTAACTGAATTGAAAAACATTTGCACACAAATATTAAATTCTTTTATCCAAAGATAATTTTATGAAAAATATAACTTTCAATAAATATTTATTATTTTTTGTTATTTTATTTAATAATGGTCAAAAATATTCTAAATTGTAATGTATAAATTTTTTGCATCATTTTAAAGGACATCATTTGACATAACAAAATTTGAGCAAAGTCGGTCACAGACCAGATAAAATAATCAGTTTGAGACAGCTGCCCTGCCCCAGTATGTCTCTAATATAGGTGTGCCACTGTTCCTCGAATCTGCAGAGTTCCACTTTTTTATCCGAATTTTCAAAAGATTCAATTAACAATACTAACTTTGCAAGTATCTTATCTAATCTAATCAGTTTGTTGTTTCAGAATTCTTAGAAACTTTTAAATAACATTATAAAAGAAACTTGGTTAAGTAGTCTTTCCTGTCACAGATTTGGAGGCCATATACCTATTTGCTATTTTTGGAAAATGAAATCAAATCTTGTATGTTGGAGATTAATTAATTATTCAAAAAATTTGAAATAATCCCTTTGTACAATGCATTTACAATTTTAATTAAGTCAACAAGTCAATAATTGCTGAATTTTGAAAATAGTGAAACACTTTAATTAAAAAAATTATGTTCTGATTTTAAAAGAAATATTAATCTAAGTACAATTTTATAAACAGACTATGATAATTAAACTGGAACAAAATTTAGAATATAGTTATAAAATAACTGGGCAAAAAAGGCATTTTAAACTAAGTATCTTGTTCCTATACTCCAGAAAATTACACAGAAATTTGACTGTGTAAAAGTAAAAAAAAAGTTGACTATGGATACACCCTGAAATTAAATTCTTGCAAACAATGAGTGGCAGCTATTCTGAAATCATAATTCAGAGTTTCACCCTTTTTATAAGTTCTATGGAAGATATAAAGTTTAATGCCAAATCTTGACTTGTAATTTTCTTGATTTTTTTTTTTTTTTTACTTGAGGATGTCTGTATTAAAATATCATTAAAAAAAATTATACAAATTTCTCATTTATCAAAATTAGAATTAATTTTCTACATTCAAAAAATAACCTTAATCTAGGATAAAATGTGCCTCTGCATGCACTTTTTTTCATGTACAGTTACGGGTATTTTTCTCGAAGTAATAATTCCATATTATTTGAAATGTTAACAAAAAATGAACACACAAAATTTTTTGATTTCAGTTTACAGATTTTTTTTTTTTTTTAATCAAACTCATTTTGATTTTATAATGTACACATATGTACACACACATATATTATTTTATTTATTACAATTGTGGAACTAACTTAAAAGGACTGTGTCATAAGATGTGTTGCTTTTCAAATTTCCTTTGTTACAGCTACTAAATATTTCTGTATGTTTATTTGTTAACATTAATATTTGAGTTTTTACTTATATTTTATTAATAGAACTATATTCAAATATTATATACAGCTTTTAACGTTAACTAAGCACTATTGTTAAATGTACTTTATAGAAACTTAATTTTACAGTTTAGCATTCATTCAGCAAAATTTAAAATTAATGAGGAGAAATTAAACTCTATAAATATTTTATCCATTTAGTATCCTATGGAAAATGAAAAAAATAGTTACTGAAGACTTTTTTATTGTTTAAATATAAAAATTTATGTCTTTTAATTTCTACTTTCTAAGTTTAGCAGGTATGTCTGGAGGTTACGTTGTTTAAAGTTTATTTGTAAAAGAATGACTATAGCTAATTTTTGTACCTTTCACAGTCATGATATTTTAAGCTATATTACAATGATGCTCTATATTTTTAATAGAAAATAAAAAATCCTTGTGATTGAAATTGGGTACCACTAAGAACATTAAAAAATAATAATGTAAAGTATTTAATTGAATTAAAAGAATGGAAAAATTGTGTGGCATTTTAAATTTCTTCATATTTAGTTTACATATAAAATTTGTAATTTTAAAGTAAAATAAAAATTGTTCAAGAATTTATGCCCATTCAGTATGCTCTACAGATTTTTTTGAAGAAAAGAAAGAAAACTAAAATTTTATGTATGTTTCCTCTGTTTATTAAGCTATATCTTTTTCATTGTTTTCAAGTCTGTCTGTTTTTCCCTGTTATTACAGATTTTGTATATAATAAAAGTTGAATTGTATTTTTCAGCTCTGGATAAAGAAATAAGTTTTTCAGTTACAACAGTGACTGTAATTTATGTAACATTTTAATTTAAATATTCCTATATTTAATATTGATTATTATTTTATTCTTTTAGCTTATTTTTCCAAAATCAGATGAACAAAGGCAAAGGCTTGGTGAAGCTGTTCGTAATATTCTTCTGTTTAGATCTTTAGATAAAGTAAGTAAATATTGTTATATATTCAGTCAAACCCCAGGGACCGAAATTTCTGTTCACTATAACCGGGAGTTCACTATATCCGTTACGCAGGCAATTTAACTAATGGTTCCGAAACTCCTCCCTTTTATTACTCATTATTCAAATAAAGGACTGAAAAATATTATGTAGTAGCAAGAAATGTGTTATTTTTCATTACTATTTGTCTTACGTACAAAAAAAAATTTGTAATCTTGTACTGATGAGCAATCCTCAACATCAGACATGGCTCTGACTCTCAGATAATTTTTCCTGAATTTCTGTTATTCCGCTTTTTAAACCTGTCTAACCTGTCATTCGAGTACATAAAAGTAGTCTCATAAAATCGCTTAGCAAATTCATCTACATTTGTCCAGATACTGGAAGATAGCGGCTTCGATTGGTGAACCACTTCAGTAATGTTTCTTCAACATTCTTGTGATCTGCTTTTCTCAACTTTTTTCTGCCATCTAAATTTTTTTCATGAGCAGAAATTATTAATTGCCTATATTTCCATATGTTGCAAACTGCAGATTTGGATAGTTTATATTCCCTGCAAATATCAGCTTGATTGCATCCATTTTAAATTTTTTTGATTATGACCATTTTATCATCAATGGAGAACGTTTTACGTTTACTGCTCGCATAGTTAAATTTAAGACACTTGTTTGCAGGATTTTCTTAACTGAACTGAGAGCAAAAAGGAATTGAAATGAGGGCCTTATCAACACATATTAGTGTCCAACCGTTTGACCAATAATGAATAATTACTCATTCCCTCTGACAGAAAATGCATATTGATCTCACTGACACCTTGCAGGTTCATCGTCTGCCTGGGTTGGAAACATCTGCTTGGTTTATTTAGGGATGGGAAAGTGATATAAAGGAAGCAAACAAGAAAAAATGCTTATCGCTACATTCCCCTCTATAGATGGTTTTGAAAATTGGTATATGTATTTTTTTTTAAATAGAAATTTCAAAATTATTACAAAAAAAAAATTTAAAATCTGCCGAAGACAGAAAAAAGTTCATTATATCCAACTTCCTCACTTTTTTGGTTCACTATATCCACAAAAAATAACATTATCCGTGTATAGCAAGGCACGTGACCGAACATTTCGTTCACTATAACGGGGTTTGACTGTATATATATATATTTGTCTGTCACAATCTTCTTTTTTTTTCACTTTAATTTTCTGAAATTTGTATTCCAAGGAACTAGTATACTCTTATAATAATTTTAATTTCATGTTATTTCTTTTTTGCAGGAACAGATGCAGGATGTATTAGATGCCATGATGGAAAGAAAGGTATTTTTATGACATTCTTGCCCTTTCAAAATTTAAGTTTATTTTTAAAATTAACTATGATTTATCCTTGTATAAAGATATCATGAAGTTAAATAAATTTTTTTAAAAGCAGATTTAGAAAACACCCAGAATAACTTTATAACTTAATTATTTTATCGGATTTAAGCTTTTGTGACTTTCCTTAATTATTTAACTGTATCCATGAATTTTCATGATCTAAAATTAATTGACCTCATTTAGACTAAAAAATCTTTCTTATATTTTATTAATTGTGAAAATCTTTTTTCAATATTCAAATTGAACCCTATCTTACCATTTGTTTTTAAATATCTATGAAATTGTTGCAATGATGCATCGATCTGTCAAGCAAAATTCTACAGTTTCACCCTAATTGGTGGATATTTACATCAAATGAATATTTGAAAACATTAGATGTGTGAAAATTATAATGAAAAGCTTATTTAGATTTGCCTACAAATTACTCTCTGGTATACTACAGTACGGATTTGGTTTGGTGTCGAAATTTGGGATATCTAGGGATTTAACTTGTTAAATATGGAAAAGTCCCATTTTGAGCTATGTTCATTTTCTTAAATATTATCTGTCATATTTTTTGATGTATTCATTTTCTTAAACATGCATTTTAGGCTATGCCAAGTTTCTTAAATATGCATTTTGAATTATTGAAGTTTCTTAAATATTCCATTTATCTTAGACATGCGTTGTAAGCTATGTCCAAAGTTAAAAAATTCACCAACATAATGCTAATTATGAGGAATATGCGATTTTTCTCTTTTTTGATGTAATTAAAGTCTAGAAATGTACGCTCCTGCTTTTATTAAAGGACTTGTTTTTAGTAATGGCAAAATGCACATTAAGAGTATTATAAAATGTTTTAAATTTTGACTATTGAAAGAATTGAACTGCACATTTCAAGAGTGCTTTTATTGGACATAGTGAGCTATATCTAATAAAAATATTCAAGCTAAAATCAGATTTCCTAAAATATTTCTTCCATTTTTTAGTCTATAATGTTAGCTTTAGTGTTTAAAAATTGATTGTTATGCGTGCATTGACCTGAAAATTAAGTTCCTCTCTAAGTTTGTTTTAACTATGCACCAAACATTGTACTTGTTTTAACTATGCACCAAGCATTGTACTTGTTTTAACTATGCACCAAGCATACTGCAACAACATTTTATTGTAAGTTTTTTTATAAATTAGAATTAAAAAATTTAACAAAGATATCTCGAAAAATATATTACAATGTATTTTATTTTAAAACTATCTAGATTGTTATCTAAAAATGCATATAATTTTTATTCTTTCTTTTGTTTTTTACTGAATCTTAAACATTTTATGTTTTTATATTTAGTTAAATTTGCTGTATACTTTAGGTAAAACCTGGTGACGTTGTTATCAAACAAAATGACGATGGTGACTACTTTTATATCATTGACGGGTAATTTCCCTTTTCTATTTTTAGCATTTCAAGTTCTTCATAATATTTTCTTAACATATAGTTAGTTATAAAAGTAGAAAGCTTTTTAAATTCTAAAACAAATAAATTTTGTAATCTGGTTTTAAGAATTTTTTTTATCCTTTTGGAATGTGGAAATTATTTAAAATTATCATGAACATGCAATTTCTTTTAAAATTCAACACTGATTTGAAAACTATTGTATAAGCTAATAAATTGAATACATGCTAAAATTTTAACTTATATTTTTATCTTTGCAATTTAGTGGAGTTTATCATATATATGTTGACACTGACCAAGAAAAAAATAAACTGGTTGGGAAATACGATAATGCAGGCAGCTTTGGTGAACTAGCATTAATGTACAACATGCCTCGGGCAGCTACAATCGAAGCAGTATCTGATGGTACATTATGGGCCATGGTAAGTTTTTTTCTAAAAATTATCTACCGTATTTTTCGGCGAAAGCGCAGCAGCGATATCAGAAAAAAGGGTTGTTTCTTCCTACATGCTGCTCTTGTGACAGAATAATTTTTAGTAGCAAAATAATTTATCAATCAAAATTGTTTAAGACGAAATAATTTTCTGAAAGAAAGACTTTATTAAGACAATTAATAATGAAGTAGATGAAATATTTGCTTGTATCGCGATCTGCTACAGAACAATCGCCAATTCTTAGCAACTTTCAGCAGCAGCCTGCAAGAAAATAAATGAACAAAATAATAATTTTAAAAAAGCATTGCATAAGGAGACCAATTTAAAAGGTATGTTTCTTGTATCCACCCCCAACTTATAGAAAGATCACAAGCTAGAAATCCACTTAGCGCCTTGGCAATTGTAATTGGAGTGAACAGATAAGGAAGTATTATCTTTTCTTTTCCCCAACCCTTTTAAAAATAACCGATTGATTCCTCCTGTACAGCTGCAGTAGAAATGACAAGTAGAGGAGGTGGGGTACATCCCTCTTTTAAACAGTTTCTTCACCTTTCTTTCTAAGCTGAGTCATATTGTGTTATTTCCATTGGACGAGAGGGCATTCTACCCACTAAAATTGTTATTTCTTATTTCTGATATTAGTTATTTCGTTAGTAGTTATTATTAGTTGTTTCATTATTATTTTTCCTTATATTATCCCTGTTAACATATACCTTCTTCATCAATGTAATGACTTCAAGAAAGAATAAGAGCTACACTTCTAGCTTAAAACTGTCTGTTATTAAGCGGGCTGAAGAAATCTGCGTGCAAAATTAATTGCCCAAAATCTTTTTTTTTTTTTCTTTTTATAAAATTTTAGCTTAAATTTTTCAATTTATTTTTTGTATTACATTGTTTTACAGATTTATGTGATCAGTCGCAGCGTAAATTCTTCCTCTAAATATGGTTGATATTATTTTTATAATAGAAGAATAATTCGCTTTCCTAAAATTTGAGATTCTTCAACCTTTTTCTCTCAAACTCCCACCCAACGCAAGGTTTTTATCGGTGCTGGTTCTTATTTTCTCTCTCTTATTTTTTGGTTGGGTGCCAGCTGGGAAGAACAACCTTATTTTACATTGTTTCGTTGCTAAAGAAAATTTTAACAAGCAATTATGCATTGTTTAAAACCAGGGTTGGCAAGGTTTAGGACAGAATGGATTAATCCACGGTTTAAACCCTGGTTTAAACCGTCCTGTCCAAAACCCCTTTGTCCAAAACTGTCTTAAACTGTCCAAAACCCTTTTACTCAAATTATACCACAATTTTATCTGAACAATATTTAAGAGGTAAAATAAACATAGAACTAATAACATATTGATAATTAAATATATCAGAGAATATTTGTTTTTAAAAGTATAATGTTTTATTAATATTGTTTGACTCTTCAATTTAAACATAGGAAGATTAATCAGTAATCAAGTTCAATTGGTCCTCTCATTCAATAGTACATAACTAAAGTTTGGCCTTGCCATACAGGTTAAAATATTAGGGACTAAGTGCTTGGCTCATCATAAACAGGTTTATTTACCTATAGTACTATTCAAGAATACTTTTATTTCATTCATGTTCAATTCTTTTAGCATAGTGGTGATATATCACCAGTGTCAGTAACTGAAACTGATGTTATGCCATTCAAAACTGTTAATACATTTTTCAGTTATTTTGTATTTTCAATTTAAACTAATATATTCATATTTAAAAAAAATTTTTGAAATAGATGTCTTTTTTATCATCCCGTGATGCAGAAATTATAACATTTTTTTAAAAAAATATTGTGAAAAATAAAAGGCTAATTTTTGAACAAATTTAGTATTTTTTTTAAGAAAAATTATTATTTTTTAATATTGCCATATTTATCCTTATGCAAAAATATTATTTATCAGTATTAAAGGCATATTTATATTTAAAGGATTAGTTATTCACTTTTGTTGTTCAATGAATTGTGGAGCTTCAAATATTATAAACCTTTTCCTATTATAATATATTATTTTCTTTTAATAAGTTATAGTAAATTTTTTAAAAAATATCAAATATTTATTGATACATGTAATTATTATGTCTACAATGGTATCACCTATAGAATTTTTACCTTTTACTAAAGTTCAAGGTTTTGGACACTTTAAGACAGTTTTACCCAGTTTAGGACAGTTTTACCCAGTTTAGAACAGTTTTACCCAGTTTAAGACAGTAAAACCCACGTGTCCTGTCCAAAACCAGTTTAGGATGTCCAAAACCCCAACCCTGTTTAAAACTTATCAAAATTTGTCTTATTTTCTGAGAAAAACAAGAATTAATATCTTCCAAGTGAAAGAAACTATTATTTTTCTGCATAAATTGACTTAATGAAGTTTTTTCTTAAATTAATTACAATAAGAGGATATTGAATATTATAATTCCATTTAGAAATTTATGATTATAAAAAAAGTAAATTAAGTTACTTATTGCCTGTTAGTTTTTACCTTTTTATATGGAATTGAAATATCTCTAATAGGTAGGCACATTTAAAATTCGCAGACTTTAATTAAATAAGCCGCATTGACTTAGTTTTCTTCAACCATTAAACAAATCTAGTGTTTAGAAAATTTTGCTAACTAGTTTTATTAATTCCTTTTTCTTTCAACTTCAAAGTAAAAACATTGTCTCCACTAAAGCAAAGCATTTTTAAATCTATCTGGCCTATTTTATGGACACATTAATCATATAATATTGATTTTAAAAAAATTGTTTACGGTTTATCATATTTAAAGACTTTATTTATTTGGTAGGATTTTTTCTAATATTTTTACTGATTTTAAAGGTAAGGTTTACAAAAAAAATTTGAAGATACTTAAAACCATACATTCAAGTTTTTTCTAATAATAATTTTTCCAACTTTCATGACTGATATCTAACATTTCTGTAAATTAATTTTTTTCTTCTTTTTCCTAAAACTCATTTTCGTATTTAAAATACAATATAAAGGAAACTGTATTTCATTTAGGTATCTGCTAATAGTGTTTAGAAGTTATATATATTCAGGGAAATGTTTCCTTGTTGTTTTGTAACATTTCGTTCTTACTTTTGATCTAATGATCAAAGTAAAGAGTGCATTATACAAATAAAATTTTCTATCTAGGATCGCCAAACATTTCGAAGAATAGTTTTAAAGAGTGCTTTTAAAAAGAGAAAAGAGTATGAAAAACTCCTGGAAGGTGTTCCTATGTTACAAACACTAGAAGTAAGTGCAATACATTAATTTTTACTACTTGATATTTTTTCACACACGTGTATATATATAGATGTATATATTATATGTGTATGTATGTGTGTATATATATATATAGTTTAACCTTATATATATATGTATATATATAAACTAAAACAATAACTACCATAAAATACTAATTAAGGGGAGAAACACAATAGAAGCCTGTAAAAACGTAAGATTTTTTAATGAATTTTGCTATGATTAGGATTAACTTGAAACATTTTTTTAACTTCTTGTACATATTTTAATCTTTATTTTTATCTTATATTACATAGTTTAACCTTATGTTGTGCATACAAAAATATGAAAAAATAAGTGCTTATATAATATAATGTTTATAACTTATTTTTTTAAATTTTCCCTAACTTGCTCTTCTTATTAATTGTAAAAAAAATCATCAAAATTTGATCCCATTTTGATTTTTTTAAGCTATATGAATGTAGTTTCCATTGCACATAGGATTTTTAAATAAACCTTTCTCTATATTTACCCTGTTTTCTCTCATTTCTTTCTGTTGCACTGATGAAAGTTGCCCTTTGAGCATCCGAAGCAGCTGTCTGCATTTATAAATATTTTTTGTGCTCTTAAACGTTGTTAACCTTAGTTTGTATTCTAGCACAAAGGTCGCCCACTTGTGTATTCATATATATACATGTCATAGTGCATCCTGCATCTAGTGCCCCGCAAGACATATTATGCTGTAACTTTCACATTTTTCTCAAAAATCGAATAAATATTTTGATACAATAATCTTAAAAGAATAAACTTTCAAAAAATGCAATAATTTTTTCATTTTCTTAAAATAACTGTTTCTCCTTAAGTGCCCTTTTAAATTTTGACTAAAAACATGCATTTTTGTGATGGTTGGTTAAACAGAACTAATTATAAATTACAAATTATAATTGGTAAAATAAAGGTAATGGTTGGTAATTTTTAGGAAAAATATTGACACAATTGAGAAGCTGTTGAATAAGTGTTTCTTCATAATTTTGCTTAGTGAATGTTTAGAATTCGATATAGAATTTATTATATTTCAACAAGACTTAAAGAAAAAGAAAAAAGTTTTTAGAAAAAATAAAATCAGCTTTGCCTTTTTCCCAACTAAGTTATTCTCTACAATTCTCTTTTTCTTTATAAAGGAAGAAGGGAATTGTAGGGGATAAATTTTATTTTGAAGATACTAAAATAATTTTGACCCTCATCTTTTCTCTAATGTTGTTTGTTTTTTTAAAAAAAAGAAAGAAAGACTGCAAGTGGTCCTATGCCTACTAATTAAATGAGCATGGGAGTCAGATTTCAGCAAAAAAAGATTCTCATATTTGCAAATTATGTCATCAATGACAACACTGATAATTTTTTATCACAGTTTCCTTGGTTTAGGATGAAATGTTTTTTTCTTTCATTAGAATAAATTTGTTTAACAATTTTTACAAAATGTGATAACAATCTTACATGTGAAAGGTAAGAGGAAGATCTTGAATGAAATTTTCCTAGTGCTGTCCTAAACTTTGTTTGTGGATTTGAACATTTCCTGCACCTCTGGCATTGAGTCTGTTACAACATAATTAGTATCAGCATTTTTATTTTTTAATATATTAGAATTGTAGTGAAATCATTATGATTGATGATTAACTATGTTTTAACTTTTTTTAGCAATATGAAAGAATGAATCTTTGTGATGCTCTTATGCCAAAAGCTTACTCTGATGGGGAATTAATTATTAAACAGGTATTGTTTTTAAATTTAAATTAATTAGTTACAAATCTTTTAGAATTTGACTGTACAAATAGTACACACTTGTTTTTATTAAGCCATCTCACATAACATAAATAGCTTGAACAAGTTATGTTGTCAAATCAAAATAGTTTTTTTAGATTCTCTTGAGTTTTGTGAATTAGAATAATAGTTATTTTAAATTAATCGGTCATGATGCTGCTCAGACTATCACAATATGTATGTTAATATTTAATTTTCACCAAAAATGATATAAAAGTTTTTCTTGTCATGCATATCTTCTTGCTAAAAAATTATAAATGAAATGGGAAAAAAAGATAGTATTTTTATTTTGTTAAACTTATCTGGTATATTTATATTTTCACTCTCTTTTTTTTTCTTTGTCTGGCATAGTTTTTAATTTTGTTACCTCGTGTGTACATAAATTACATGTTTAAAAATTGGATTGTATTTTTTAAGGGTAAAGAAAGAAATTAATATTATAAAAATATTCATTTATTTTAGTATTAAATAAATTATTTCCTATGTATTTCTATTTTAATAACTGACCTGTGTAACCTGGTTGAATCTAATCACTAGTTTGATGTGTAAAAGTCATTTATGTTAGCGTATCATTAACAGTGTTTGTTCTTTCAAAATGACTAAAAGAGTTATGTGATTATCAAGTGTATTTATTGTAACAAAGGAAGAAACTTTGTCACGATTTTCAAAAAGCATAACACTGATCTAAACTTAAAGCAGTGACAATGAAGTTTATATTTATTCCCAGTTAAATTATTTTAAAATTTTTCTATAAATACCTTAAAATAATTTTTTTTCTAAGCAAAAAAAACAATTTTGCATCTTCATAAAGTCAACTGAGCAAATGTAACTCCAAAAAAAATAATAATAATATTTTTTTAATTGTTTCCAGGTCTTTAAAATAAATAAGGTAATTAAATTCAAATTGAATGATTAACTTGATGATATCCTTACAAACGGCAGCACTATCTAAATTTTATTTTGCTCTGTTAAGGATTTTTAGTTATTTAGTGTTTTGTTGTGCCCAAATGTACTGTACATTTGGGCACAACAAAAAAAATGTCTAAACAGGAGTACTTTAAACTTATTTATTTTTACTTAAAGTAACTTTTTTAACTATTTTACACCAATCACACTAATTTTATGAAAAACTATTTATCTTAACTCCAATTTTCTTATACATGAAATAGCAAATAATCTAAATAGCATAATAATTGCAAATGATAGTTTTCCCCATAAATTTATTAAGTAGTCTTATGTTCTAAAAGGCAATGAAATGAAATTATTCAAATTTTTTAAATTGAAAAATATTTTGCATAAGTAGTGCTTAATCACTGCATATAAGATAAGTATCAATTAAATTAAAATTAGCTGTAGTTCACATTAATGTTCCCTCTTGTGAAAAGTGTGCTTAATTATTATAACCATTGAATTGAAATTGACATTATCTTTTGTTCATGTTTTATAAGTTGTTCATTGCTTTATATATCTTTTGTTCATTTCTTTGACATTATCTTATAAGGAAGTGTAGGTAAAAAAGAATTAATAGTGGTAAGGAAACTTATGTGATGACCATTATATGATTAATATGATAAACTTTATTTATGTATTCAGATTTTAATCCATATACTAAAATAATTATTTAATAGGGTGATGAAGCAGATGGAATGTTTTTCATTGAAGATGGTGATTGCAAAATAACAATGTTAAAAGAGGTATTTCATTTTTATGTTTTTCAATAAGGCTTTTAAATTGAAAATTAATCTGCTTTATACGCATGATTCATAATAAATGGTTATCCTGAAATTTCCTTTTTATAATCTTATTTTATATTTGGTCATGTTTCAAAATTAATAATTTCCAAATATAAGAATACTCTAATAACCTATCCTTCATCATGAATTTTGTCAATCAAACAATAAATAGTTTTAATACATGGCATATACTTATACTGCTATATTTATACAGTTCTATTCTTTTATCATTATTTTAAGCTCTCCTTTTGTATAAAAAATGTAGAAAGGAAATTAATCTTTCTTCCTGCTTCAATTCAGTCAATTTACACTTAAATATTTCTAAATTACTGTTCTTAAAACAATTATAATAAATATTTAATAACTTTTTATAGAAATATATCATCATTTTTCCTCACGCTTAATATTTGAGAGATGCATTAATTTAAAGGAAAACTATTGAAATGATGAATTTTAGAGTTTATTTTTATATATTATTTTTTATATTATGCATATCTCTTTTTAGATATTATAATGAAGTCTTTGATTTTTAGTTCTTCATGTTATAAAAATTTGGAAGCATCTAAATCTATTTTTGTTGATTTATACAAAAAATTAAAATTTTGAAAAAACATAGAAAAACATATTAAAACATATACTAGCAAACAAACACTACTAAATTGCTTATAAGCAAATTTATAACTGCGTGATTTTTATTGCCTTAAATTTTTGAAGAAAATTCTGATAGTGTTCTAAATAGTGTTTTTTGAAAACAACATTTTTCAAACTTGATAACTTTATAAATTTACATTGCATTTTTATCAACATTTAGCAGTATGCTTGTTATTAATGTAGTTTGTAGTTTTAGATCAATTCAAACGATAGTTTTAAAGGTATTTTTCATTCTCTGTTTCCACATTTATTAAAAGTAAATAAAAGTGCAATGAGAACTTCAACTATAATTTAAAAATGTCTGTTAACTCAATTGAAGAAAAAATGGTGATATGGAGCTCTTAATTAGCAAATGTCTGCACAAAAAAGTCTTACTTTAGTTAACTATAATTTTATTAGTAACTATCATAAATAAAAATCAAAGTGAAAGTTTACATGGGATATATNACATACATACATACATACATACATACATATATACATACATACATACATACATATATATATATATATATAAATGTTTTGTTAATTAAATTCTCAGTAAGTTTGATAAGACAATAAATTATCTTTGTGATAACTACTGGTATTTACCTCTAATTGTATTTTACTAGCAATGGTCATCAGATATCTGTATTTTTAAAAACACTTTGTATTTTAAGGACGTTGTTAGAACTCTTTCCAAATGCAGTACGTGCCACAAAATAGGTTAGATGAATATTTTCATTCATTGCTTATTTATGAGATATATTAAATTAAATGTAAAGATATATTTATGATAAATATTGTGATGAATCCAGAATGGGGTGGGTAATGACATCAAGAGTGAATTTTGAAAAAATGAATTTTTTCTGAGTATCATTTGTAATTATATAACATGAATTTGGAACCATTCCGAAGCTGTGCCAGGAGGCTGTTTCCTCTAGCTCCCACCTCTTCTTATCTAGCCTATCCCTGCTAATTTTTCACAACTATTGGTTACTTTGTCTTTTTTCCCCTGCATTAAAAAGGTTTGGCTATTGAATTTTAAGAGATTTTTTTCACATTAAATACATATATGTATAATATTGCATACGCAATATTTTGATTTGGCAATGATAAAATAAATTGGTCTTTTTTAAAATACTTTATCACAGTAGGACCCTGATAATCTCAAGAAAAAACGTTTGTTATAAAATAGTAATAATCAGATAATTGGCTGACCTTTTTCAAGTCAACTTTTTTGCTGTGTTAACATCAAACTATGAGTAATAAGTGGTACCTATAACGAAATTGGAAAATAAAACATTGATACTTTTGTATTCTCTTTTTATTGTTGTTCCCAGGTAGCCAAATTTCAGACTAGTTCTCACAGCAGTATTTGGATTACAACAGTTGTAATAAGGAAGAAACTTGAGTCAGAATGCTTTAACACACATTGGATAATTGAGATTTTACTTATCTTTTATTTTATGATTACAAGAGAAGGAAATAATTATTTAAAACAAATTAAACTTTCTATAACTATACTTGTTATTAGTATTGTTATCAATTTCTTAGCTGTTAGGAACCACTTGTAAATTCAATGTATATATGTATTATTTTTACAGATAGATTCTAAACTAATCTAAATTTTTTTCTGATTTATTTAACTATTCATTTAAAATCATGGTGAAATTAATGATGGAAAAGAAAAAGTTTAATACTCTCTACAGCACATCACTTTTAGCATTTCATTTCTTGCCCTTGTTTTCATTGAGATGTGCACGATTAATTGAGATTTTCTTTTCTTTTTAGGTTGACGGTAAAAAAGAGGAAATGGAAGTAGTAACACTGACAAAAGGCCAATACTTTGGAGGTAAAATTAAATACATAACTTCTTCCATCAATGTATTAACTTTAAATAAATACTGTAGATTATTCCAGTTCTAAAAATAATTTGGAACTGGCATCATCTACATGCAGTTATCTTTAAAAAATGCAGTTATCCTTAAAAAATGCAGTTATCCTTAAAAAATGCAGTTATCCTTAAAATTTGAACCTAAAACTCAATTAGTATATTCAGAATTCATTGAAGCACAAATTTAGAACATTGGTTTAAAAAGAGGTATCAATCTGACTAATTTATAAGTAATGATAAATCTAAGTTATATATTTAAAATTAATCTCTGGTTTCTTTTACCCTCCACTTTGACCTCTATGTGACTAAGGCAAAGGCACTCTCCTTTGGAAAACATTGTACAAATGTTATAGACTTGAGTTTTTAAAATGTTATATTATGTAGTATTTGTATAAATTGTATATGAAAAGGTGCAATTGTATTTTGCATATCCTTTAAGAGTATAAAACTTTTTTAAATAATTTTTGAATAATCAAAACTATTATAATTGATAGCAAAAAAGGTATTGACACCAAAAATTTCAGATGTGATGAATCTGTAAAGATCAAGGTTGTAAAAATTATATTTGTACCTTACTAGTTATAAAAGGTTTGATTAGTAAATAACACAACCAAATTTAGTGTCTGTTTAGCATCTATAAGGACTTTTTTTTCATTTTGATCTCTTTTCTCTTCTTTTTTTAACATTTGCTTCCTACAGTTCTTTTCTTTAACAAAATTGTAAATTTAAGCAAGAGAATTTTCAAAAGATGAGTCTTGTCCAAAGAATACTTAATGATGTGAAAAAATTAAAATTGTTTTGAAGCAGAAACTTCTAAAAGAATATCTTAAATTGTCAAACATGGTGAAAAGAAATCAACAAATATCACATCTTATGTTAGAAACTGCTAAAACCTTCCATGAATAATTTTAAACTTAGAATAGAAATGAACATATAACCTTTATAAATCTAATGAAATCTCTTAATTTAATATCCTAATCCCTAAATTTTAATTATGTTTATAACATTACTTTATTGTTTTGTGGATATCTTTTATTACAGATTTGTTTTTTTTCTTATTCCTTAAAAATTCCATAACAACCTCACGCTTAATATATACACTTGCATGCAAAAGTTTTTAGTCAACCTGTAGATAGCATTTTAATCTGCTTATTTTTAGTTTGTTTCCCATTGTTTTTAATCAAGCCAACATATTGCATTTGATTTTGGAATTTTTAATCTTGCTATTTAATCATTAATATAATCAACTTCAGATAAAACTTGAACTTTTGCCCATAGCTCTGGCTAAATATTTCTTTCTTTTTTTTATATATTTCGGGTCATGTAGGAACAAATTCTATGAAAATAAATGTCAATATTAAAGTAGTAGAGCTCCAATTATCCGAACGTGCAATTATCCGAACTGTGCCTGAATTCGTTTTTTTTTTTTTTTTTTTTTTAAGTTTAGAATACTTTATAACTTATCAAAAAAAATTTAAATTTCTGTAGACCAGTAGATCTTCCGGAGGAAAAGATGCCACGTTATGCAGAAGAGATAAAATACTGGTGTCAAGACACTAAAAGCATTCCACGATTTCAAACGATGATGAAATTGTTACTGAAATTTTGAATGAAATTCGGAACTCCACAGACGAAGAGGAAGATCAAGTTCAAGATAGTGGACCTTCTCACATAGAAGCATGCAATTCATTAGATATTGCAATGAATTGGCTAGAGCGTCAAAATGATGTTGTTCCAGTTCAGTTGATTTATTTAAAAAGAGTGAGGGATATGGCTGCTCAAAAAAGACCGTCTTCTTTGAAACAAAAGTCTTTGCTGGATTTCTTTTGCAATGAAAAATAAAGAAAAATGTGTTAAAATCAGTAATAAACAAAAAAAAAATTATAAAAAGCTGAAATCTGATTTAAAAAAATTTCAAAATAAAAAAAAGTTTTAAAAAAAATACTTAAAAATTGAAAGAAAAAAAATTTTTTAAATAGAGCTATTACAGACCATACTGCCAGTCCCCTAAACCTGGAAAAAGTGTGGAGGGAAGTTAGTGCATAAATAATAATCATTTAAACTAGATTTTAAACAACTTTCCAATTATCCGAACCACATTCAGTCCCGAGCAGTTCGGATAATCGGCGCTCTACTGTAATAGTATATAATATACAGTACAGAACCCGTTATCCGGAAATCAGAAAACCAAAAAACCGGAACGAAATTCAATAAATGTTCCCGTCATTTTTTAAAAAAAAAAATTTTTTTCCTCATAAGATTTTAGGATTTTTCTTTTTTGAAAGATGTTTACCTTACCATCATTTTGGAAATAATCATTAGTGTATTACTCCATCGTTTTTTCTTCTTTTTAAGATTATATCCAAAAAAAAATTTTTATTTTAGTTGGGGTTAACAAAAAAAACGGCTTTTTGTAGCGATTCAGAAAACCGGAAAAATCAGTTATCCGGAATAGCGATGGTCCCGATCGTTCCGGATAATCGGTTCCCTACTGTATATATATAATTAAGATTAGGACTCAGTAAATAAATATGCAAAGCCTATACTTATTAGTTAAAATTTTATTTTAACCAAATAATACTATAAACAAAGAAATTCATTCAATACTTACTTTGATGTACGAAAACCCTTAAACATGAAAAACACTATTCATTTAATACCGGACTGATTTGAAAATTATATTAAATTTAAAATGAATTTCAAAGCGGTGACTTTTCTTTTTTGCTCAAGCATATTAAACAAGTTTTGAAATAGAATAATACATTATTTTACTACATATCAACAATCTATAGTATTTAGTTTCTCCAAAGAGTTTTGCATGCTAGTAGTGTATATATTCATAAATAAATGGCATAAAGTTATTTATATAGATATTTTTCTTAGGTGCCACCAAAATCGTGGGTATTCCTTTATCTAAGTTAGCAGCAAATTATTGTAACTAATTATAAAGCACAGGCTCAATTTTTAACAGTGAGCATTTTGTGATTGCAAGAAATCAATGATACTAATAACTTAATATAATATATAAATTTAGACCATACATGTAAAAAGTAGTAAGAGAATTCTAACCTTTAATGGCACTTGTAAATTACAGTAACATTTTTCTTATGAAACTAAATTAGTATAGTTAATTTATTTCAGATTTTATGTTATATAATCAATTTTTGTTTGTCTCATTTTCTTTAATTCAAATAACATACACTTCAATAATTTCGTACTTTGCAAAGACCTTCATCTTTTATATCCTATTTTATATTTTTTCTTTGATAAAAATTTATGAAAATTCATCACTTTGGCAAATTACTTCATACTAATGCTAGCATTTGAATAATAATTTAAAATTATGAATATTAGCATCAGCGTGAAAATTTTGAACTTAATGAACTCAAAAAATATGTTTAGCTTTAAAAAATAAGTAATCTAATCCTAAAAATAACTGAAATAAATATGAAAACGTACTAGAAACTAGTTCTGAACTATGAAGAATCTATATATTTTTATTTATATTCTGTTAAAATTAGCCTTGTTTTTCTATTCTAAAAGTTAAACTTATTTGTAAATATTAGCAGGTTGCTGAAAGATTTCATACACTAGTTACAACTGACAGGTGTAGAACTAAGTGCTGAACAATGGTTTAACTGTGATTCTTACATTCCACATGAAAGCTAACTTGAAAAGTGTCTAGCCTGTTATTGTCCAAGTTTTAAAAAAATTTAACACTCTTTGCTACTAGAATCTATAGTACTAAATTTCATTAAAATCATCTGGAAAATATTTTTAAAAAAGTGTATAACTTAGTTTTTGTTTTTAAAAAAAACCATTGTATGTATGATATGTTTTGTCAATTAATAATTGGTATACTGTGAAAACTTATCTATACTATACATTGTTTACATTTTATTCATCAATGATTTTGGAATTACTTCATCATTTAAAGTTGAGCTTTTTCTTACCAATGGTTAACTTGAAGTAATAAAAAAATGAGTTTTATTCATATTTATTTTGCTGGTCTTGAAAATAACTTAGATAAGCATGAAAACTGGTTCAACAGAATGAAAAAGTAAACAATCAAAACAATATTTTTATAGCAACTTTGATTTACAGTCATGAGACCTAAACTCATTTGCAAATAATATCAATATATTTCTTAACTTCTGGTGTGCCAGTAGCAACTTACAGTAATTATACAACATCATGAAGATATTGTCTTTCCCAACAATAATTTAAATTTTGTTTCCTACATTCATCACCTTTGTCTAATTCATTTTCCCTAAAAGATGCTTTTATGAAGCAATATATATAACAGGGTGCATAGTGTTTTTAAAAAGTGGTTAAAGGTGCTTTTTTCATTGGGTGTTTTTAAATAGTGCTTAATTTTCCCTATTCTAAATTGGGAGTTTTTTTCTTTACCATGTCTATTTTAGCCATGCATTATGCAATAGCGTGATTTTTCTCATTGTTCTATTCAACGTTTTCACAATCATTCAACGCCAATCATTTTGCATGTTTGATGAAATACTTGGCGAGTTCGCTTGTGCGTCTACTAAGCTGAGTTAGGTGAAATTATTACACTAGCAAGTGCAGCTTTGCTGCATTTTGAAAGATTTTCTCAATTTCATGCTTCATTTTCGACCCTTTCATATGGAATCAAAAAATCTCTTATCATTTTATAATGACTAATGTTATCAAGAAAAGAGTTCTTTGTCAAAAAATTACCATGATCATGTAAAGTTTTTGAAAATTGTTTCCAATTTGTTAATGTATATAATGCTTAAAATATTTTTTGAGTGCTTGAAAAGTACTGAAAAGGTGCTTATTTTTTGTTGAAAGATTTGGCTACACACCCTGTATAATTAAAAGAAAATCACAGGATAAATGCAAGTTAGTTAAGAAAATATATTAATGAAAACATTTTTTGTCGAAAAGATACTTTTCGAATTCTAAAAAAAAGAAAATAACTCAACTAGCTTATTTTGATGTCAAATTTAGATTATAAATATATGTATAATATAATATATTTAAATATATATNTATATATATATTGTTGTGCTTATCAGAGAATAGTAACTTTGGTAAGTCATGAAAAATTCTTAGAATTATTAATGAAAAGTTATGGATTTGAAAATCTAAAATGTAGCAGATACCCTGTAGGTATATCGGTATAGTGAATACAAGGTATTAACTGGGTTTTTTTCTTGTGAAAGTGTTCTGATGCTCTGTGAATTGTACTGATTTTAAAACATTTTGTATATTAAGTGATATTCAAAAAAAGCTCACTTTTAGACATTACAAATTAGCTATTGTTTTTATAAATAAGCTATGCAAAACTTTATTTGTTTTGTACTATATTTCTGAGTCATATGAATAATTCTAATTGTGAATAAAATTATTCTCAATATCAAATCATTTGAGATATTGCAATATACCCATATGATGTTTACACATTAGGAAATATGCTGAATTTATGTTTATTTAGTAAAAGAAGCTTGTAAAATTATTGATATTGTATGTATTATAATTATAACTTAATTTATGAAATGCAATACTTACATACATATGACATTTTTAAATTAAATAAATTATCTTTTAGGGAAAAACTAAAACTCCTAGCTTCATCTAGTAAAACCCTTCCCATTTAAACACTTCCCATACAACACTTAAACAAACAAAAGAAGTCCTGTAATTTTTTTTCATATTTCACTATAATAGTATACTTAAAGATTTATGAACTAAAAATTACTATTCTTCACTTTATGTGAAAATTATTTATCAAATGCTAACTTAATTATTAAATTCCTAAAAAAAACTTGTTGCTATTACTTGTCCTTATCTTTTATGTATAAATGAAACAAGAATAGTTTTTAAAAAAATCATTTTTTGATATTTTTTCATTAAATGAGAACAAACTTGCTGCTCTGCAGCATAAAAACCATATAATTTTGCTGCTATATAATTATTGTAATTTGGCAATTTTTGTATTTAGTGCAATAATTTCGAATGTTATGTCAACAGCTATAATGTATAATTTTTTTTTTAATACAAGTTTATTATTTTTAGAATTGGCACTCGTCACTCAAAAACCAAGAGCGGCTTCAGTATATGCAGTTGGCAATGTTAAATTAGCATGTAAGTAATATTCAAGTGTGTTATAATAATTTTGTGCTCTTATGTTTAGTATTGTATTAAATTTGAATCTAAACTTTTATTTAAATTAGAGGTCATCAAACTTTTATGCTGGGGTGTCTGAAAAATTTTTTAGACTGCAAGAGGTAACATTTTCGAATTGACTTTAAAGGAAGTACAAAATCTCAGAATAGAGGAAAAACTGCCCATAAATAACTTTTATACCGTAAACACTAACTGCCGCATTGTGAGTGTTACGCTAAATGCATAAAAGCAATATAACAAATGCCGTTTTTTTTCTAATTATACATGGGTAATTATATATATGTCAAAGCACTGGGATGTCATTGTGAAGATTTGGGGTTCAATCTCCAGTGGCGGCTTGAAGCAAACTCAAATACAGATAGATGGGAAGTAAAGACGGCCTATGGGCAGTTCTGACCACCTTGCCACAATCATGCTGCTGGTCACAAAATTGTGGAGACTTATCCTTCATGACTCCCCTGGCCCACTATTGGCTGTTGCGGGGAATGCTTTACTTTTATTACACAAAAAAATAATCTAGATTTCGATCCTTAACCAAAGAAACAAGTTTTGCAAATAAGTAACACTCACATTAGTGAGTATGTATTTTTTAGGTATCATTATTGTTCTACAGAATTCAAACCTACCATATAATTTCAAATTTTTTCTCTGTGACATTAATTACATATTGTATTACATATAAGCCATTGTAATACAGTACAATGCTTATGAAAACATTACCTTTTTGTATTTGCTTCTGAGCATGTAGTTTTTTTTTTTTTTTTTTTTANTACAATGAGCATGTTTTTTTTTTTTTTTTTTTGTATACTCATAAATTGAGGGTATCAGTGTTCTACTTAGAACATGACTACAATTTTGAAAGAAATAAGAAATAGAGAATCATGTAAAGACTGATAAAAGTTTATTGATATATTTTTTTTTTTCAAAACGTTTTATACTATGCTTGAGTTATAGCAAGAATTATATTAGGTTTTAGCATTAAAGTTATTGTTTTTTATAACGTGCTTAAATTGCATTGAAATTAAAGAACATTTTATAAGAGTTCATACTGATAAAAATTAATTTTCAGAACAGTAAAAGCAACTTATTTGAAAATATTTAATCATTATCCAAAGATATATCCTGCATGTTTTCTGTATTTAGTGATAAACAAATGAAATAGTTTATTAGTAAACTGAGTGATTTCATCATTATATATTTATGAAACATTTTATTTTGTACATTTAACTCATTGCCTATAAATTTTTACCTAGTTTTGGATGTTGCTGCTTTTGAAAGGTTGTTGGGACCCTGTATGACTATAATGAGTCGTAATGTTGATCATTATCGGAAGCAAGTTGTGGAATTATTTGGCTCAGAAGCAAACATTAGTGATTTACGATGATCTAGTTTTCATTCTTTTTTCATCCTTAAACATTTGGTTGAACATTATTATGCCCTACATCATATCTGAGGTCAGACCAAGTACCTCTTATAAAATGTCTCATTTATGTTAATCTAGTCTCATTTTCTGTAACAGATAGTGCATTACTAAATGTTTAAAAAAAATATGTTGTGTAGCTCATTTATGCATACTAGAACAATTTCTAGTCTGTTTTCATAATCAAGAATAACAAGTTTTTACTTGTTTCAAAAATTTACGTAGGTGGTGTAATCTGTGCAAGTAAATGTGTGTATGTATATACATATATGTATAGTATATGTGTGTATGCTTATGCATTTGTATACATACATACTTAAATCAGATATTGGCGTCATATTAAAATGTAACTGTATGCACGAAGCAAAAGCTGTAACCAAGACTTGGTTGATACTCGATTTACTGGTACAATGCTTCGTTTTTAAAATTTGTTGCCATAAAATTTTTATGTTTATAATAACATTACCTATTTTTTTTTTTTTGAGATGTTAACTGTGTTATGATAAAATAAACATCTGTGTGTCAAATGCTGCATGTATTCAGTGACCAATTTAATTGGTCTTATCTGAATTTGAATGTTTTTACTTATTAAAAATGTTATGATCTTGATGTGTGGAACGCTGTATTGATGTTTATAACTTCATAAAGCCTGGTATTCCTTTTTTTTTTTAAAACATATTTGGAAATTACAAAGTTTTTCTCTTCCTTTTCTTGAAAAAACAAAATCATTTAAACATGAAATATTTTATCAAATATTAACACTTTTATAACTAAATGAAATCATTGTTTCCTTTAAATAAATTATTTTTACTTGGTTTTATAATTGTCTAAACTTTTTTAAAGGCATATCCTATATCTATGTATGAAATACATAATGTCTTAAAACTGTGTTTCAATTTTTTAAACTGGTACATAAAACTGAAAGAAAAATGTTTTTGTTTACATCCATTCAGAACTGCCAAAATGTCGAACTTGTAATATTCATATGTTATTGTTCAGTTTTAGTATATTTCTTTTTTTCTGATTAAACATGTGTATAATTTTTTTAGAAAAATTATTAGGTTTAAGAAAATGAGTTTCTTTATCATGCTTATTGCACCTATGCATACATAATTATGACACCCTTGCAGCTATAGTTTTTTTCTTTTTTTTTTTGGAATTCATTTTATTTCAAATTATCTAAAATTTAGCTGATAATCTTGCAATTGAAGTACTTCACGAAAATATATTACTAATCTAAATAAGTGTGCCTTTCTTTAGTCAGATCATGTTGTAAAATTGAATAGGTAAGCTTATATTAAGCAACTGTTAATTAGTAAAGTTAATACTAAATTACCTAGAGTAATATCATTTTTATTTAACTGTAAATGATAGAAATAATAGTACTTTTTCAAAATGAAAAGTTTAATTATAGAATATTTATGAGTTTATTAAGAGAATATTTTTGATTATTCAATTAAAAGTTCATTTAATTATTCTCAGACTAGAATTTCATTATAAAGCTTTTTCTCAAGTTAAAGAAAATCCTTGGTTAAACATTATTGTTTTATAAGGTGCAATTAGTTTTTATAGTAACTTTAATTTAACATTCATTGAATCATTCCTTTAAAATTCCTTTAAAAATCATTCCTGTAAAATAAGTGTATAAAATGTACATGAAAACATTTAAACACAAAATTAGATATAATTCTAGTGTAACTTGATGAAATGATTATATTTTATATAATCTTGTGAATTATATTTTCACTGAAGTAACATTAACATAATTTAAAACTGTCTCTTGTCACTATAGGAATAAAATATCAGCATTTCTATTTTAAGTATAGCTCCAGTTTTTTTGTGCAAATTAGTGTAATAATTTTTCAAACTTCTTCTAAATCAAAACTTTTATTTTGAAATTTGACATCTATTTCATAAATAGAATAGAGATGTAGAATGCTTGAATAAGACAAAGATGTCCTTTTATACCTTTTTGTGAAATTATAGCATTTATATTGCAGATGTAGACGTTTACTAGCAATTAATCCTTAATTGATATAAACACTAATAAGATTATATCTGCCCTAAGCAATATATTTCACTGTTACGTTTATAACCTATGATGCTGAAATAGTTTGTGAAGTTAATATTTATAGGCAACGAAAATTGTTAAAAATTCACTATGACTATTGATTATGTTAGCTCAATACATGTTGAGATTATTAAGAACCTGTAATCATGTTGCTTCTTGAAAGTGAAGGCCATTTTTGTATAAGATTTTATCAAATAAATAATACAGTTTGGTAACTTATTTGAAATTCTCAGGAGTCTTAAGTTTCATTTATGGAAAATATAGTTTTTTTTTTTTTTTTTCCTACTTTAACTTCTGACTATTGGTGCTTCTATCACTCTACTTATATATTTTTAAAATGTCAGTGATAATTAGCTTAAATTTATATAAAGAATATATATATCCCTAAGTCATACAAAATTTTGTTTACTTCACAAATGTTTCATTATCAATTTATTTTCATTTTATTGCAATTTATGTTTGTCCCTTTTCAACTTAAATCTCACTGACATAATTTAATTCATTGGTTTTTATTTACTACACATTGATTGTACTTTTAGACATTCAGCAATACTGTTTCTTGTCCTAAAATAAACCATTTTAATCTGTTTCCTCTAAGTATAACGACAGAACAATTAAGAGGACTATATTATGAATCTAATTAATAACAGACTACTTATATTTTTAACTTTGCTTCCTTCAATGGCATTTACTTTGTCACCGATTTCTTTAAACTCATGAATATCTGTTGAAATGTTCTATGTACACTCTGCTTGTCTTCAAACTGCATTTGGTGTTTTTGAATGAACTTAAGGGCATGTAATGTTTATCATAATGGAGTATGTAATTTGATTATCCCTATAAACAAATTGCTAACATTTTTTGTAATACTTAAACAATTCAAAAGACTATTTTGGTCACTAAATTGGGTTTGATTGAACTTACAGTTTTGTAAATAAAGAATTCCAAACAAATCCATTGTTAATTTAAACTTTTCTACATTGTGAGCTAATAATTTAAAATATTAGTGTAAAAAGTATTTAAACATATTTGCTTAGCATTTCTTTCAATTGGGACGAGTTTAAGTGTTTTAAGTTTATATTTATGACAATTTAATAGTCTTCTTATAACTCTACAATACTTACAACTCAAACGTTGTTTTAAATATACTTTGCTTTTCAGTGCATTTTTTTAAAAACAATTTCATAAATAATATCAATATATAAGTGATCAATAATTTTCATTAAGAAATAAGAATTTCCTTATTAAGTTTAATAATTATTTGAACAAATTACTGAACATTTTAGCTATTTTCAAGTTATTTCTCTTTAAGATACAATAAGGATGAACAGCTAGCATAATATTTTACAATGAAAATCCAACAACATGCTATTAATATGTCTATCAATGTTTCAAACTTTTTTTATTATAGAATTAAAAAAAATTTAAAATATTAAACTTTAAAATCATACGCGCTTAAATATAGTGCACATCAGTTAATGTTCATTTTTCTATCTATTTTAAAAATTACAACTTTATTCAAGCATTGTAATTTTTCCATATTTCATTTGTTTTTCATACTGTCACCAAAAGAAAGTATTTCATTTCATGTTTATGTGTCATTATCCTGCAACTTTTTTTTCCTTTCAAAAAATTTTTGATTACGTGAGGAACCAAAGTTTTTAGTTTCTAAGAAAGAAATCTTTAATTCTTTTACCTTCATGTGAATCTTACCAAAATTTTGTTCCAAGATAAATTTGAAAAAAAAAAAAAAAAAGATGGTATATGCATCACCAGCTGCAAAATAAGTATTATAAACCTGCATTTACTCATTTGTGGAATAAACTCCTAAGCTCTCTTCAAATGTGTTACTATATATTATACTTAAATAATTTATATTTCATATTACAATCATTTAAAGATATCAGCATTATTTTTTGCATTGGCTAATTTCTTATTTTTAAGAACATTAGTTTTAAATATTAAATATGTTCCATCTAAGTGTTCTAAGAAATGTTTCTTTTTTTTCTGAGATATATTGAAGTCATTTAGCCAAAACATGGGAATTAAAATATGGTTCATGTAGACTGTGTTGATTTTGAAAAATTGTGTTGTAGAAAGATTTTATTCATATAGTTGTAGTATAGGGATCATAACATCCTGGTAAAAAGAAGAAAGTGGTGGCAAGTTTATAATTAAAACTAGTGGTAATTCTCATTTTAGCTTTGTTTTTGGTAATCATGTCAAAAAGATTTCAGAATCTTCCTTTCTAATCCGTTTGTTGCAGCCAAGTGACAAATTCTTTACAGACTTGCAATTAGATAACTTGCTCACTTTCTACTTCTTGTCAAGGTACCAAGATCCCTGCTAGTTATAAATGTTCAATATTAACATATCCGGTGAGTTCTTTTAGAATATTTAAAATTATGTATATGAATAGTATTTTTCAGAATTGTGTACAAATTTGTTTGTGATACGTATTATGGCTCTTTTGTATCTTTTTGTTTGAGAATTTCTTAAATGTTTTATATGCATAGATTTTTAGTATTTAAACTTCACAACCAGTTAAGTTTTATGGTATCTTTTAACAAACAAAACTGTCTTTTTTAAATTATTTATAAAAAGATCCCATAGTTCTTACATTATGTGAGTTATAACTTCAAAATAAACTTGTTTTGCTTGCTATTTTATTTATTTTGTGAAATTAATTTGTTTATAACTGAACAAATAAATTATAAGTGTATTGGAAATTTTTTTGTGTTGAAAAAGCTTAAGTTTTTTTTATTTCATTCCCATAACAAACTTCAATGACTAAAGTGATTTTAGCTAAATGACAAATATAAATGTCTTAGCTCATAAAACTAAATTTAACTAAAGTAATAAAATTAATTTTTAAATGTAAGAAAGAAAACACTAAAGAGCAGTAATGCATAACTGCCACTCCCTGCATAACAAAAATTATCACTTTTTAGGGACGGGACTTTATTGTAGAACATTAATTAGGCAAATTTTTTCATCAACATTTTTTGTAGTTTAAAAAGAACTAATATTTAAAAAAGAGCCATCTTAGAACCTACTTATCCTTTTAAAAATTACAAAATAAATAAAACTTAAGTCTTTGTAGTTTAGACAAAAAAAAAAGTGAGTCAGTGTCCAAAATTAGCCTATTGATCAATTAATTGGTAACAGGAAAACTTCCTCCTTGTGTTCTTGGTTTTAGTTAGATAATTTTTTGACAGATGGCACTGCAGAAAGTAAACCTATTAAACAAAAAAAATTTGACTTTCAATAATTAGAAAAAATTGTGTGATGATTTTCAAGTTACAGATAAACAAATAAATGTTGTTTATCAGTAACATCACCAACTGTAAAAGTTTCGAGTTAAAGCTAGATACTCTTGTAGTAAAAATGTATACCATCTCATATGAATTTTATGCGAGAATTGTCTTTTTAAACTGAACTGTTTTCCTGTTATAAATTTTCGAAAATTAGGAAATGAAAATTGCAATTGAATATTTTGACGAGAACAATGAATTAAATTTATTTCAATAGTAAGCTGTCAAAAGAAATGAGGTACATTCATTTCAAGTGTGAAACAAATAACACAACTTGTCTTTGGGAGGAAGATTACTTGTCTGATGGTCACCCAAACATGTTTTCTTTATAAATATCACTTTTGATACCATAAAATAAAGAAATATCTTTCAGTTTATCATATATTACTCATGCAAAACAGAAAAATTTTATTTTCCAAAAAATTCTATAATAGGAAACTAGTAATATTTGTACTATTTATAAACTAGCATTTTAATGGAAACTTGTCTTAATAGCAGACTTCTTATAACATGAAGTACTTTTCTTAAATTTGAGCTTTTAATTTACTGCAATTTGTCTAATAGATAATTATCACCTGTTTTTCTAGTGCCTCAATTTCATTCTGGTATACTGAATTTATCATATTTTATGCAAGTCTAATTCAGTTTTAGAATAGATATCTTGAGGTACGGGAAATTTAATTAAAAAAATTTTAGAAATAAATACAAGTATACTTATTATGAAATAACATTTAATAATTACTAAAAATGACTAAACTATCTTCGTAATGTCTAATTTTATTTAATTGTAAATTATAAAAAAACAAAGAAATTAAAAACTCAGAATACAATAAAAAACAAACTATATTCAAAGAACATTTATTTATCAGATGAGAATGTATTACATTTAAGTTGTATGGAAAATTGGTGGCTCCTACAAGAAATCCATTTGGCCCAATTTTAGAGAAAGGTATGGATGTAATTTCAACTCAACAAGCAAATGGTTTTATAGTTAGCACACAACTTACATGTTAAAAATTACAACTACTTTTACACATTGATGACAAATTTTAAAGCATACTTTTTTTTTCAGAATGAAAAAGAATTTAATACCATCACCTATGGTACCAATTAAAATCACATACAATGAAAATCTACACAAATGACAATACATATACTTATAAGAAGCTACACATGAATACAAATGTTAAGTATAACATGACATGAAGATATGCCATCATAAAATCCACACTGTTAATTGTATTCTAAAATTTTAAAATCGCTTCAGTCATGAAAAATATATATAAATGCACAACTCCCATAGCAAAGTGGTTCAACAAATGCATTTCAAATATTACCAGAATACTTGTCACTTTACCATACTTTTAAAGACATCCATCATATCATAAAATTTAAACATTTTCTTATAAGGTAACTTTTAGTAATGCAATAGGATAAAATTGTATGGTACAGCTTTCAGATTAAGTCAGATTCGATTTTATCTTTAAAAAAATAAAGTTATTATTTTGACTATAAGTCGGAAAATTTTATGAAATGAAATAGAATTTTTAAGTTAAAACAGCAAAATACATTAAAAACAACTAAGTAAGCAAAATAAAAACTTAACAAATAAATGAATAATATGAGTATTATTAAATGTGAATCTATTTACTGTCAGATTTCATCTACAAGTGGTACTACTTAACAAGCAAATATTTATGGATTTTAGTTTCATGCACATAATTTTCACTGTAAAGGAACTATTTCTAATAAATCAAAGGAACTTAATTCTAAAAACATAAGAATTTGACTAGCCATTTTTTTTTATTTTTAGCTAATTCAGTTTGAAAATCACAGTCTTGCAAATTTAAACAGAAGCTATTCAAAAATAAAAACAAACCCAAAACATTAACTAATAACTAGAATGTTTTAAAAATAAATGGAAAAATGAATGTATGAAATTAATCTGAGATGCAGTCACTGGTAAAAGTCATGAGTAAACACATATGAGTGATAAATGATGAGATAAAAGCGCTATGACAACTTATGCTTATTCACAGGTTGTCTAAAAAAATGAAATGGATTACCTATAAATAGGTACAAATGACATGTAATAAAACAGCAAAAACTGTACATTGTAAAAACTGAAGCGAAACGGTGATTTTTACAGACAGTGCTTGACCCCTTTATTCACATAGAAGGTATCTTTTAGGCACTTAACTTCTCAATATGAGTAAGTTAAGTCGCTGGTTAAAGCAATCGAAGGTGGCCAGTTCTATATTCATCAAGTAGTTGGGTAGCAAAAGTAAGTGTCTCAAGTTCAGGAATATTAACATCATCAACTTGCAAATCACCACCATACATGTCAAATTCTACAATAAAGTCTGATCCACGATTAGTAACTCCCACAGCTCTACAATCTAGCCATTCTAATTCACCATCGTCTTTAATGAATGCTCGACTAAGTCTAGATCCAACAAGGTCATTGACTGCCGGATCTACAACTTTCAGGTTCTGACTTCTTAAATCATCAGCTATTCTGCTATCAGGAACACTCAGAATGCCTTTACTTTTGTATCTTATGTAGTATGAACAAGACCCATTCAAATTTCTTCTTGCAATGCAAACACCAGTAATCCACTCTTTTCCTTGTTCTGAAAGAAACAAATGACATACAAGTTTACCCAGAAGCCAAGACAAATTTTCTTTTGGCACAGTTTTGCCAGGATCCTCCTTGGGAACTAATTCTTGAGCATTCTTACAAGATTCAATTATTTGCCCACGTTTTTGTTCATCATCAGTAGCTGTAGCTAGCTCAAACACATCAGCTAAGTCTGCTTCTTTCTTGATGATAACTTTTAAATTGTCTCGCAGTTTAATAGAATTGAAAAACTTCCCTTCACAAGCTAAATCCAACAAACCATTGTCATGTTCTTCGCTTAAAATGTATTTTCGGAAGCGAATTTGTGCTTGCAGAGCTTTCAATTTATCTACCTCTTTTATTTCTCTCATTTGGGCATCAATTTCTTTTTCACTCTTCCAAAGACCACCAAATTTAACAAGGTCGTCTATTAATTTGTACTTTTTTTCAATCAATTTATAGGTATCATTTTTGTCCAAAGACTGACCTTTTAAATCACTAAGTTTTATCTTCCTTTTATACAACGATTTCAACTGCTTAGTATTATCTTTCTCCATGCAATCAAATACTTTTATGTTATCCTTGTTACACAATTTATCTTGCCAAGCTCCATTTCTTGTTTTGCTATATAATGTAAGTGCATCTAGAGCAAATGTGGGAGATGAATGGATATTTAGAGTAATTCTATCAAATGAGGCAAAATCTTCATGAATTTGTGTCTTAAAATCTTTGTCTACTTCCATTGCTGATTCACCATTGATTTTCTCAGAAGTTTTATTTCCCTGCATGAAAAATTTTATGTACGATACGAATGCTGTAAACAAAAGTTCAAGTAACTCTTTAGTCAAAACATCAGTGGCCTCATTATCTTTGACTAAACTGGCATATACAGCATCATGTGAAACCGGCACATCTTCAAACAAGCGCTCTTGTCCTTTCATAAATTTAGAGGAATCTTTAGCCCAATTTTCAATATTTTTTAATAGAGAGTTATATCTCAATCCAACTTCAACAATATCATCTTCTAATACAGTCCATAAGGGTACAGCTACAAGTTTTCCAATCAAGCCTAAAGCTCTTGCAAAAGCAAAGCTATGTTTTTCATTGAAGAGGTTAGAAAGAGAATCAACATTAACCTCTTTTTCTTTCATTTTTTCAAAAAACTCTGTTAATAATCCAATTTCATGATAAAACCAAATACCTGCACTATTATGAAAGATAACATTAAAAATGTTACCATTGTGAGGTGCCAAAGGGACGGATTCAAGCTTTTTTTCTTTAAGAACAAATTCTCTAAAAGCTTTCCCAATTTCATCTTCACTACTTGGATCAACTTTATCGCTAAAAGCATATGCTTGTCGAACAGTTTTACTTAAAATAAAACCAACATCAAAAGCATCTACATTATTGCCAGAAGACATTCCTTCCCATGCTAAAACTGTAGCATCAGCTAATTTAGCAAGCCCTAATAAGCAGTATAAGCCAGTGCAAAAGTTGTTTAAGATGATTGCTTTAGTGCGAAATGCATCAGGCAAAGTTTCTAAATTATTTGCAACAAGAGGTGATATCTGCTGTTTATACAAAAATAAAATTTCAATCAACTTTCGGTCTAATAATTGATGGTCAGACATAAAAGCTTTTACTGTTTTTATTATTGAATCAGTAGGACTACTACCCTCAACTTTAATATTAATGATGTCACTCAAGATATCTTTCAACACACTTAAGGAAGTATCTGGACTGCCACCTGATATATCTCTCACTCCAAGTTTTAAAGTAGACCCATCAGCTAAAGTTACATCATAAGATGTACCAGCAAATAAAAATTTTGTTTGGCCATCGTTACAGATTGATACCTTGCTCACTTTCAGAAATTCGGTAAAAGCTTGAAGTGCAGCTGCCATATGACATTCCATTAATATATTTCCTGCAAATGATGGAGAAGGAAGTTTATCTGTATTCAAAGGCTCCAATTCATCAAGAATTGAGAATATAACTTCATGAACATCAGGACAAGGAATTGGCATATTGCTCAATTCATAATATACAGCTCGCAAAGCATTAATGAATTTCCCATTTTTAAATTCGTCCAATTTTTCTGAATTCATGAAGTCTTCCAAGGTCATGACAGTATTAGGAGCAGGAGAAGCTGGTACTGCATTAGTGGCAGAATCAGAAACCTGAGGAGCTGGAGCATCGGGTGCAACAAAGCTAGAATCTGCTACAGAGGCTGTACTTGTATCAAGTGAAATAGTTGAAGCATCAGCAGATTTATCAGCTTCTTCTGACAAGCGAGGCTTTTTGTTTTCTTCAGTCTCTTCAGTGTCTTGTCGACCTCTCTTCTTTGTACTTGAACTCTTTTGCTTTGCTACAACCTTCTTCTTTTTCTTTTCTTTATCAAGAAATGTATTAGTTTTAGTAATTTTATGCTTAAAATCTTCTAATGTCTTTTCAAACTCGTAGTTTAATTCATCAAATATACCTTGTTTAGTTTTGTTACGTCTAACCATATAACCCACATCTAAATAATTCCCTTTGTTGTTATTGACATAATTCAAGCGCTCCATGCAATCATGCCAATTTACCATTGCATTACTCCACTCTACCTTAACTTTAGCAATATCAGTTTCAATTCGCCTTCGTTCAGCAACGCTAGATTTACTCAAATCATTTAACATTTGACATCGTTTATTTAGATCAGCCATTTTATCATTTAAAGAAGTTATAACCTTTTTAGCAATACCCAAATCTCTTTTAAGATGTACTATTTCTTCTCTTGCCTTCCGCTTCTTAGCTTCTTCATCATCCTCATCTGAATGACCAGACATATCCATTGAGTCATCATCATCTCCTCCTTTCTCTTTCAAAACTTTCAGCAATTTAGGACCAAGACTAGCACAAACAGTTGGTTCAAAAGCGTCAACTGGATCCATACCCATATCAGGAGGAAAGTCAAAATTCCAGTTCATAAGCCGATCAATCTCGCCACGATATCTATTAGGTGACTTAGATAAATATTTCCGAATATTCATTAGAGTATCATATTTTTTATTAAGTTCTTCTTGTACAGCTTCAGTGTTTTCACATTTTACTTGAAAGATGTTTATTAACCAATCAACAAGTTCTTTATTTCCAAGCTTCTTTGCTGTTTTATACTTTCTAAGTTCCCACATAACCCCATTGCTGATACTTTTACTTTCTTCACATACCTTAGTCTTCTGTCCATTCAAAACTTCCTCATCAATACCAAGATTTTTGCAATAAAGACCTAAAGCCATTTTTTTTATTTTTTAGGTTCTGGATTTCTAATTATAATTTCTCAAAACTGTATGCAAACTATCATCACCTAAAAAAAGCAAAAAATAATTGAACAATTGATTAATTATTAAATGCATTTCAACTTATAAACACTTATTTGTTTAAATATTATTTAAAATAGGAAATGCAAGTATACGCATTAAGGGATGCTAGAATGGTGGACAATGCACCACAACACTGCATAAAAACTTCATTGCCAAATCCTGATTTTCACCAATTTCTTTACATTTTTTAACTATTTGTCTAAATTGCAACATACTATAATTTTCACAGAAAAAAAAGTTCATTTTTTCTTATAAGTAATTTTATAGACTAAGATCATTTAGGTTTAGGGCTCGGCTGAATTTGCATTTAGTTTAAAACAATTTTGAAAAACCCCTCCCCATTCTTAAATAAAAATGATCAAATTTTTATTCTCAGGTTTTGCAAATTTTCCAGGTAATACAGCATTGGAGTAAGTTTTTAAATATTATAAAATTAGATAACAAGCTTTTCATTTTCACAAAAGTGTGGCTTATACACAGTGCTAGCTTTAGATAGGCTAAACTTGGCCTGACAGTCATGAGTAACAGTTGCAAACTCACAGCAATTATGAAAATAGCATATCATTCGTAAAATAGCATCATTTCATTATATGACAGAGCCTTTGAAAAACAGGCCTAACTTTTTTTTAAGCCCCTTTCATTTGGCTTTTCAAAATCTTATTTTCAATATTACATGAGAATTACAAATTTGATATTGCTTAATTGATAAAAGGAATTGTTTTCTAAAGCATTGCCCAACGATTTTTTAAATTCCTATATATTGATCATATCGCGAATTTTGAAATTAAGTTATCACTTTTTTGCAGTGATGATTCTATTACATTTTCTCATTGTTTCATGACAGGCTTTTCATGGTTTTTTAAATTTCAGTAATTTTAATACAATGTTTGATTGGTGATGATTCTATCATAATTTCACATCAAGATATTATGTTGTTCAGAAAGTATTATGTATACATACATTATGTATGTATTATGTATACATACTTGACATTGTATTATGTATAGGCACAAACTTAAATTTTTCGGCAGCCATTCAAAATTTTCTCACCTTTTTGTACATGGTTTTTCTCATTTTTATAACATTTATTACATTTAAATCTTGAATTTGAAATATCACTTTTTAATGCTTTAGATTCATGAAAATTCCACCATAATTGACATCAGTTTTTTTTACTGTTATTTATCTTTTTCTTTTTGGCCTTTTCCACATTATCTCTCAAACTCTGATATTTTCAATACATTACGACACATGAATTTCAAATTAGAGTATCATTTTCCACTGTGTTTGATTTGCATACTTCTCTAAGAAAATTCTTGTCGTTTTCCTGGAAAACGACAAGGATTAGCCATTTTTACTTGTTATTTTTTTATTTTAATATTCTTACATAATCTTATTACGACAAGTGTGATTTTCAAATTTAAGGAATCGAGTTAAGCTTTTTAACATGCTGAATTCATATTGATTCTGTCGTAAATCCAGATAGTTTTTTCAGGAACAGTTTCATTATTTTTTCAATATTAGTTTTATTACATAGTTTTTTTAATTAGTCGTTTCTTGATTATATACTAACATACCTGCCAACATTGGAGAAATAAAATAACGGAGATTTTATTAGCGACATTTTTCAGACTATAAGTAAAGTTTTGATACATCAAATATATGATGATTCTGAATTATTTTTAATTTAAGCTAATTCTCTTAAATATTAGATTTTTTTTTCCTGGAAAAAATTACGTACTTTGCATATTTTGGGTATCTTAAAAGCTGTGCAAATATTTGAGAACAATCACCCCTTTTTGTGATGGGTACCTTTTTTTAAAGGAGAAATAGCACCTATTTTAGATTCTAGCACCTTGTCTTTTCTAAGATCTAGAATGAATCCTTTCACTTATTTCACATTTTTTAATAATGAGAAATATATTTAATTTCAACTGCAGTGATATGAATATATTTTTATGAAAACACTGAAAAAATTAAACTGTAAAAAAAATCTTTTTAACAGCACATTGAATGCACAAATCGAGAGTTTGAAATTTTATCATTCCAGCTTGATGCAAGTGTTGTACACTTACTAATAGATAAAGTAATAAATTTAGCACATGGGTTTACTCACTAAACTTAAAAAATTTTCAAGGCTATTTTCCAATTTTTTTCTTTCTTTTTTTTGGTTATTCAGATGAGGAGATAATAAAAATCTAGTTTGAACAGTAGATTTTTAAATCCTGCACTAAATTTTAATCAATGATTAATTAAAGATGCAATTCAGATAATAATGTGGAAAAAAAACACTGTCTGATGATTTTCGATTATGTGAGAAAAATTTTTCATTTAAAACAAATAATGTGAAAACCTCCTCATTAACTCATTCTACATCCATGGATAGACCTCCCTTCTTAGCTTCTAAAAACTCGCTACAATAAAATTTATAGTTCTACAATCACTGAAACATTCCTTTGTTTAAGCTTTCTTCACATTCCAATGGATGCAGAACATTTCAGTTATTAGGGTATAATTCCACATAAACAGAAGTGATATTCCAAAAACGACGCTAAATCCATGTACTCAAAAACGTGATTTTAATTATGTAATTTAATTTGGAGGGAAAAAAAAATTTGCCATAGCACTGTGAACTGTATAGCTTTTAAATTTATATTTACTTATTATTTAAAAATATAATAGTTGAGAATATGGAGGTTCACGTATGTGTACCTCGGAACGTAATGCAAAATTTAAGACTGCATAGTAGTCAAGGAAAATCTCATAGTATTATGAGTATTTAATTATCTATTTAGTAATATTTTTGTGTGCATTTTAATTATTTTATATTAAAGTTTACACATACATTTACCAACTTTTTGTATTTTTTCTCATAATTTTGAAATTCCACCCAAGTATTAAATTTCTTTTTAATTAATATTAGATTCTTTACAATAATTATCTAACTAAATTCATTAATTTAATTTCACATTGAATACAATTTCATAACTTTAAATCATTGTATCCCGACAATGTAAAAACGCTCATTCCATTTGGTTTAAAATTGATCAGTATAATATCTATTACACTTAGATAATTATTGTTTTTGATTGAATGATAAATATTTATTATTTATTTCTGTCTTGTTTATTTGCAAAAAATAATTTACATGCAAGGTAAACTACAATAAAAATACATGATCTGTTCAATTTTTAGGTAAATGGATAAAAATTTGAAGTTGTTATTGGATCTGTAATTAGCAAATGAGACTGGGAAAAAAGAGATAAAATTTATTCTGGAATTCACTTTTAATTATTTTTCATAAATTTGGCACATCATAAAGGCTACAACTGAGGACATAAGTTCTTTCTTGTCCCCTGATAGCTATGGCACTAAATACAAGTAAAAAGTATATATCAATAATATAGCCTACATTTTTTCTCCCATTTCATTTATAAAATAGAGAAAATTTTAAGTGACAATTATTAATGTTTTATTTTAGGATTTTTAAAATGATTAGATTTAAGGAAATAGTTCATAAATATAAGTTGTATTTACATTGTTAATATACACTGCATACTTAAAATTAAAGATTTTTCAACTAAATTTTACAAGGTGGAAAATGTTATAGAAGATATTGATCCACTTATTCTGCTGTGCAGTTGAAAAAATAATGTAAGTGCCTCATGGTAGATTTTGAGAAGTGGCTTGATAACTATTTTCTTTCTATTTCTAAGGGTATGAATGCTAAAATAGAATTTCAAAAAACTGATAAAAACAAAATTTAATTCTGAAAAAAAAAAACTTTTGCAATAAGTAGTTAATCATAGAAAAATGCCAAATATATAAAAACCTCAATTTTGTATTTTTTCTCGTCTGTGTTAATTTTTCTATTGCACATCAGTATTCTTACAGGAAATAGAGGACAATTTAAATTTTAAGAAGCTATTTAATGGAAGAAAAATAATGTTTATAGTACAAAGATAAATATTAAACTAAATTTCAATATTTATAATTTTTATCATTAACTTATATCCAAAATGAAGAATTTACATCCGACACCAAAATAAAAAATTTCATTTTAATAATATAGCATATTTTACAAGTTAAGAACTGTCTACAATTCTTTATTCAAATGTCAGCTCTAAAATTCAGTTAAGTTCATATTCAGATTACAAATTCACAGAATTTTGGCAATTTGTAAATGAGTAGGTACTAATTTTTTGCTTTCTTGTGATTATGTCCAATAGCAAATATTGCTGCATTGAACTCTTAATTAAGGAACAGTAACAAAGATAAAAATAATACACTTAAATATTTTAGTTGATCTATTTTATTATTTAGTACAATTTGTAAATTTTAAAAAAAATATGCCTTTCAGACTTCTGTTCACTTGTTGCAAATTTTCAAACATGTCCTGTTGCAATAGAGATACGTCTCGAACTTTCCCTTTATACAATACTACGCTTATAAAATTAGTTTATTGTTATGCCATTCTGGAACAAAAAATAGGTTTTAATGAAAAATTTACAGACTAGAAAATACAACAATTTTTAAGTGTTAGAAGTTTAAAAAAATATTTGTTTTGCATCAATTTCATATATTTTATATAGTTTAGTATTGATTTAAATGATTAAATTTCTAAAAATATGGAATGTTCTGTAAAAATTGCCAATCACCTTCACATTATTTTTTATTGTAAAAATTATAAATAAGCTACCAAAAATTTAAAATAAATTTTTTTGGATGGATTTAATTTTTAAAGTAAATTAACAATTAAGTGTTGCATTTAGTTCTGACTAGAAAACAAAAATTAAAATTTTGTATCTAAACATTCTTTTATTTTCTAAAATTTTTTTATTAACTTAATTATAAAAATTGCATCCTTAACAGTTTTCTTTTTATCAGTGGCAAAAGTTTACTGACCTCGTCTTTTTTATTCCCTTTCCTCAAATTTTATTATCAATTTTAAAACATCCTGATCTTCCCTTTAGTGAATGAAATTTGGTTTTAAGGACACACATGATAAAATACAGTAGACTTTCGATATTTCAAAGTTCGTGATGACAATTTTTGAGAAAACAAGTTCAAAACTAAAAATGTTCTAATCGGTAGAAAAATATATTCTAAGATAACATTCTAAAAAGTAGAGTCATGAAACATAAAAATAACTAGTAATTAATATGTATGTAATGAGACTAAATGCAGTAATGATAATTTTATTTTTTAATGTAAGACAAAAATAAAAATAAGTATGTATGAAATAGAAAATAATTGGTGTGCACTAAACTTATTGTAATTTTTCTGAAAAAATTCATTTTCTATTTCATAAAATATTTGACATAACAAGGTTTTGAGAAGAAACTCTTTGACATAGGAATTCAAATTAACATTATGTGGATATGTAATGGCAAGGGGAAAAATATTTTTCAACATAACAAGGTTTTAGACATATCGAGAGCATACTGTAAGTAATTTTACCAATTTTTAAAAGTCTAACATGACATTTGTAAAAGTGTTCGAGATAAATAATATATTACAACCAAGTTATAGACTAAAATTTTCTACTATATTTTTTCTTCTACTGATTGTACTAATTTGTATCCTGGAATCTCAACAGTAAAGCTGTACAGGATAAACAAAAGTGATATGCAATGCAGCTGACCACTTCTACAGCAAAGACACCAGATACAATCAGGGTTGGTAAGTTTTTGACAATTGGCTGTTTTATCTGGTTTTATCAGTCATGTCAAAAACCCTAAATTTTAGCATAAGGAGGATTATTAGCTATTATGAATAAGAAGAATTTATAAATAAACATACATATAAAATTACAAGTGATCAATTATATTCTTGAATTATTTTTGAGATTAAACTCTTTTTCTTTTGACAATTATTGTCAAAAACCCGAATTTCGGTGCAGAAAATATTAAATAAATAAAAATGTATAAAACTGAAATTTATCGAATCAGTCAATTTGTTAAATTATTGAAAATAAGAATTAGACTACAAAAACAATCAGTTTCTTAAAAAAAATCTCAACAATCATCTCTTATTCATAATATATAAATTCAATTCTCATTTACTCGTTAACTTTTCATAAACTCATTTTTTAGTTTTCTATGCATAAATTACGAATAAATTAATATTCTACCAAATTTGAAACAATTCTTTGGATTGATGTTGAGCTGCATAGTCTAGAAAGTATACATACTAAAGCTATTATTCATAATATATAACTAGGAAATTTTTTCTAATAAATACACTTAATATTAATAGTAATTTAATTAAATTGATTGATGGAAAAAATTATTAACTCATTTAAACATTTATATTTTTAATAAATTATAATTGGTTTGTTAATCAGGGAATATATTAGAGTCAAGATTTACTGAAAATATTCAGGTATATATAAGCAGGAGTGTAGAAATATTTTCGTAGCCTAATATTTCCTCAAAACAAAGTTTCTTTTTGAATAAAAATTTCCCTAAAAATTTAATTTTTTTTCCAGTACATTAAAATATTTTTGGAAAATTAAGTGTAAAAGAGAAATAAAATTCAATTGATTTTACACAATACTTGAATAAACAAGCATGTGTGTCATTAAATAATAGAAATCAAAATAAATTGAAATAATAGAAATTTATTAAAGTAAAGTAAATTTAAGGGCCCACTTATAAGTTAAAGGAATTCAAACTAATAAATACACAAATTGACATATGTTTTATAAACAAGAAAAAGTTTTGCAAAGCAACACATTCTTTAACAAAAAATTTTGTAAGATTTTTTTAGACCAAAAAGTTCCCCATAGCTGCTTGAATTTCCTCCAAAACCTTGTTCGTGCAGTCAAACATATTTTGCTTCCCTGAATATAATTAATGGCAAATATTAAGAATCAATAAAATAAAAAAATACACGTTGAGATCAGACAATTATTGGTGAACACTTTAATTTTGCTTTAACTAAAAAAATTGCAGAAATAATAACGTAAAAGGATTAAAATCAATATTTAGATTGATAATTTTCAACTCATAGTCATTACCTATAATGTAAACCGAATAGTCATAATACGGGTCTAAAAGTATTAAGATTACCATTAGAAAAACTTATTGAAAGTTTCAATAATTTTGGCGAAATTTTGTTATATGTGATAAATAATATAAATCATAATTATGGAAGTATATAATGCAAGTATCATGCATGATTTAGTATCTAATAAAATGTCTTCAATGTCAAAAAAGAAACTTGCCCGAGGTTTTTGACAGTTGATGGATTTTGACAGTTTATGACAGGTTTTTGAAGTGTCATGTCAAAAACCCTACCCTGGATACAATACATAAAGAAAATTGAGTCGAAACCTATTAATTTTTTTTTAGCCAATATTAAATTGCAAAACTTTTTAATGAAGGCAAAAAGTCTCTTCCAAAAATAATGATTGTCACATTTTACATCAACAAGGAAAAAAGAATGATTTTGGTTCTGGATGGTATATTTTATTAATATAAAGAAATTATTTATTTCTGGCTATAAGTAAAATACATGACTAGTTATATAAGCCACACTTATTTAATTGAAAATATTTTATAAAAATTAATTTTAATATGCAAATAATTTTTTAAGAAAATTTGATGGGTTCTAAAAGAAATTAAGTTAAAAATTATTAACTATTTTAATTGTAACAACCTTAAACAGAATTTGGACTTTATAGGAAACAAACATTATTAGTTTTATGAAAAAGTTAGGAACATATTAAGTTTTTCTTTTCTCGGTTCGTCATTAAGAGACAAAATAGTTTTCATAAATTAGAAATATTTTTGTTTTATCTACAACTAATAATTAAGGTTACCGTGAGTACATACGTATGACAGTGAGGGTCTATATGGCTTAAGAAAACAGCTGATAAGTGAAACCTTAAAATCACTTGTTCAATATTAAAAGACAGAAAATACTAGCTTTCCATCAACTATCTTATTAGTTATAATTGTAAATAAAAATAATGAGAAGCAAAAATCTGCCGGAGCATAGATAAAGGATACGGAATACAAAATTTAAGATATTTTCGTTTCATGAAGAAAACAATAATGCCGTAACAGTACTATTTCCTTAACATTTTATCAGAAAGGTGATATATTTGCATATTAACAAAAAATTGTACTTTCATTAGAAACCCAAACTGTACTGTATTGAAATCAAAGGAGGTTCGATCCAAAAGTGATTGATTTTACGGAAAAATACTCGTAAGTCATTGTGGAAATGGAAAGATGTGAACTGAAAAACATTAACGTGTACAGAATTATATTAGAAGTGTAATTATTTAATGTAATTATAAGGAACTAGAAAGATTAGAAGTTGCACATAAGGAAAATATGAGAAGGTAAAAAAGCAGGGGTGATTGTGAGCAACTCAAAAATCCTGAAAATTTCTTGAGTAAAATTATTAACGACACATTTCAAAAAATTAATGTCTAATAATTTTAAATCATTGATAAGTTCACAACATGTAATTTTAAATAAATTATATGTAGCACAGTTTAAATTAATAATTATGTACAAGTTTACTTTTATCTCTAATCACATTTATTATTCTACTAGAAAAAAATATTTACAAAAGAGATGCCAAGTATAAATTCCAGTTCTAATATTTTTAAATAAAATATACAAGAATTTTTATACATAAATGTGATCGATGATTTCTTGAAGCTTCTGGACCTAAGATTTCCGGATCGCAGTTTGCAAAAATCCGGATTTACTCCGGAGCATAATCGTCTCTGTAAAAGGAAGGTTGGAGAAATCAAGGTTTCATAAGTGTCTCATTTTGACATATTTTCTGCAGATTTAATTATAAAATTTTAGTATTAATATTGAATTTAATATGCTTTGTCTGCAGATTGAATATTCTTATAGGCATTAAAACATTTAAGATACAACGTTCCAACGAAAGCCGTAATTTGATAAAGAACATCATTGTAAGACAATGTTTTTCAGTCTTATTTTATTTAAACTAGATTGTTAAAAGAATTCAAATATACGATTCAAAAAATTAATCTATGATATCTGGAATTTCCAATGCCACAAAACTTATAGTGTATCTCTTTAGTGCAATGATTTTGCTGTATTTGAATATCAAATGAGCATACAAACTTTCAATACGTATTTTTAAGTAAATCAATTTTGCTTAACATTTTTATAAAAATTAGTTATAATTACAGATTATAACTAGACACTCACAAATAAATTTTAATAAATTGCATTAGGAATAAAAACATTAATTTTTTTTCTCCTCATGCTGTCATAAATAATGTACCACAACATATATAGCCACAACCCTATTATCATCAATGTTGATAGGTTTATAATAGTTAAGAAGTTGGATTTATGAATAGAATGTAAAAATAATAATATTCAAAAATATCTATATATATAGTTCTCTTCATGAAAACTAATATAATGAATGAAAAGACCTTTAAAAAATAGTATACATGCTATTTGCTTAAAACAAATACGTTAATTTTAAATGTATCTCCAAACCAAACATATAACATTAACAAAACAAACAACTAGATCCAGCTAAATGACTACTAGAAATCAAAAGAATAAAGTTTGTAAGAACTTACAAGATCTTACAAACATCATTTGCAAAATGATTAAATATTATATACAATGAGACTTAAGTTGTACTTACAGAGAAAAAAGAATAAATTAATATTTGCAGATCACACTTGAAACATTCCAAAATTATTCGATTTCCATTAGAAAACTAAAAATAAATAAAGATTATAAAATAAGAACATAGACAACAAATAATTTAATTTTAAGTGCATTAAATCGGTACATATGTCGTACTATTTAATAACTCTAGAGACGCCGGTTTATGAAACCGTTATACTGAATAAGGATCACAACAGTGTAAACATTACCAATAAGTTTAATAACTTTGACTGTAAAACACATCAGTAGTATGAGCATACAGTCTTAAAAATTAAAAGATATGGATGTGACACAACTTATGGTTAACAGATCTTAACACTGTATTTTTAAAACTTAACTAATGCAATAGAAGCTGCGGGAAGCCATTTTCTTTATAACAGCACATTATAACAACAGTTACAATAATAATCAATAGATTAAGTATACAACATAGATAGATTACTATGCCACAGAAACGAATATAGAATAAAATAACAGTTATATCATCACAAAAGTACTAAGATTGTATCCTACCTTAAATTTTTGAAGAGAAGCGTTCATAGAAGCGAAATACACCGCATAAGAAGCTTCAAAACATGATGCCACACAGCTGATCTAAATACGACTCCGTATTTCTAACATCGATTCTTTCAAATATAACGGTTCTAGTAATTGTCAAGCCTCCCTGGCTGAGCTGTCTAGCCGTTCCGTCAAACGATCTGCTTTACTTCGGTATATCTCTTCGTAAAGCACACATGCAATGTGCAACTAACATGCACAGATTTAAGCAAACTAATAATTATAGATGCTACGTGATGGCCACACTATTCGGTCAATGCAAATAGCTTCAACTTTTGTAAAGATCAAAGGGTCCCGCAGTGGACTGATCGTTAAGACACGGCTCCCAGCAGATCACCAAAGTCAAACATCACTGGCTGCGGTCAGTGTNGATCAGTCTGCTTAGGGACCGAGGGTGTGTGGTATTGGTCCTCGTTAAACTGTTCTACCGTAAAGTGCTCGACTTCACGTGCAGGTCGTCGGGCTACCGAAGCGGATTACTACTTAAGAAAGATTTCGGTTCGAATCTGTGAGGCCTAGCACAAGAGAGCCTAGATTGAGATGGAGAGAATGCCACTTTTAACAAAGAGATAACCCGCCCGGTGAAAAGAGCATCAAATGAACACCAGCTGATTCCGCCACCTGCACCGGAGAACCCATTGTGCAGCTCTATTTCGACGTAAATAAAATACCTACCAACGTCAATCGAATATGCTGGGATAAAATACCATGCTTTCTCAATAAACTTCAACAGCGCCATATTGTTTACCATTTATGCATACTTGGTCCGTTAAAATGCCCTAAACATTCTTAATTGGATTTAGGTCGGGCCTAGGGCAGGTCAATCTGGTAACTGAACATTTTGTTGAGAAGGGATATTTTTCTCAATCGTTATGTATGTATCATTTTGTAATATACAATAAGTTCCACCTAGAAAGTTTTGAAAAAAGGAGCATATGCTGCCTCTGTGTACCTTGAAGCGTTTCAGATGTTTGTTTTCCTTTAAGGTAATGCAGTCATGTTTTTCCATTAAATTTAAATGCTCTCCAAACCATTAGAGATTTGTCTCCTTGCTACTTGCTGAAAAAACTCCTTGGCTCCTCTTCGAGGTCATGCCAATGTGAGTTCCAACCGTCAGGACCATCTATGTTACATTTCTTTTCATCAATGAATAATGCAGTTATCCATTTACTGCCGCACAACATGTGATTTTATTGTCCGTTTATTCTTTCCTGTTTAATAAAGTGGTTTAAGACATGGCTTGCGGGGAATTTTTTTCAGAATGATTTATTAACATTCTCTATGAATAGTGTCCTTCGATACTACTACAGCGATAGGGTGTTTAATTTGGCAAATCGACATGTGTCAATATGCCAAATAGAAAAAAGTATTTTTTCCCTTTACACTATTCTCTGAATTTTCCTATCGATCAGAGCACTCGTCACACACGATTGTCCACATCTCGTTTATCGGACGAGATCAAATCCTCTTTTTTCCTAAACACTTGATAAATATCTCGCTTTGATCTATTTAAAATGCTGGAAAAATTCAAAACACTCTTTTCTAGGATTTTAGGAAGAGTAATAACTTAAAAATCACTGAGGTAGTACATTGGAAAATTTCGTATCTGTCCTTTATCCACTGGCTGCAATTTGATGTAGTATTAAGTAAAAGACTCACATTTTTTTCAAAATTTTGTTGATCTCTTATGGATGGTCGGGACAATAGTCTAAAACGAGCCGCGAAGGCTCAGTGGATAGAGCGTTCGCCTCTCAATGACGTGAACCAGGTTGAAAATAGCATCCGGCTTGCACCGACCGCAGTGCTGACGCGAAATATCCTCAGCAGTGGTAGACGGATCACGGGTTAGAGTCCCTTTGCCGTCAGGGTAACCGTGGGAGAGGTTCTCGTGGTCTTTCTCTCCATGTAACACAAATGCGGGTTAGTTCCATCAAAACGTACTCAATGAAGGCAAATTTCTCCCAATGCTTGACAGGAGCTCCCTTGTCTACTGGATTGCGTTCAAAACTACAAGGCTATGGAGTTGAACATTAGTAGTTGTAAAATGTTATGCTTGTACATTTTACGTAGTAGTAGTAGTTGTAAAATGTCATGCTTGTACATTTCACGTTCGTTTGATTATACATTTACTGTGTTTAAAAAAAAAATCCTTTCCTCGAACTTGATACCTTAAGTACTGTTCTTTCAGCTGTGATTATATTCTGAGTTATAAACATCTTATATTTAATTATGTGTAATTGTTTCTTTAATTAACTTTGCACCCCTACTGAAGATGGGACATCAATCTATCTTCTGATTGATATTGTTTTTCTTCTTTGTAATGTTTGCTTATATTTAGTTCATTTCTAAGGAACGCTATTTTCTGGATTTCATATTTAATATTCTCCCTATTTCTTAAAAATCCAATTTGAAAATTTTTAATATGTTTGCTTATGAGATTGAACTGTCGCGCGCACTTCGAACTTCTTTGTTAGTTAAATAACGTCATGAATTTTTGTACTACATATTTGTGTTAGTAGTTATATACGATAAAAATATTTTTAATAGTTCTGATTTAAGATATTTTCAATTACAAAACACTTTCAATTGTTCTTATTTATTTACTTATTTTTTGTTCTATAATCTATCATTGCGTATGCAAATGAATTATACTAAATGTATTCGAATGAATTTCTTTTTTTCGCATGTCACATAAATTCGTCAAAAACTTTTTTAAGTAGAATTAATCTCATTCATTAGAATAATCTAAAATATTATTTAAATAGAGCCAAACAATGCTAGTTTAATTATAACAAATGAATATAACTGAATATCTTTAGAATAACTTAACTCACATTTAATAAAGATTCTCAAAACAGAGAAAAGAACTATGCTGATTTTTTGTTTCACCCATAAATTTGCAATTTGTCATTTTTTTTTAATTGAGTATTTCTAAAAGGTCTAATGTCAAACAACAGATTAAGAAATACTAACTAAAAAGTTTTCTTATTCAAGCATTTTTTGTTTACATAATTTCTAACAAAAAATTTAGAATTGGGAATTTGAAAATTTTTAAATGTCAATCTTAAAAAATTTTGTTCTTAAAATGTCCCATAATTAAAAAAAAAAAAAAAGCTATCCAGTATATTTCAGTTTTATAGCTATAAGAGTAAAATATCTTTATAGCTTTTTACTTCGCATTTGTAATTTTCGCATACGCAAGATACGTTAGGTGAACAGAAAATTAAAGAAAATAAATGAAATTATGTTTCTTAATTACGCATCTAAAGTAATCAACTACTTTAAAATAATTTCAAAAACGATTATACTGTAAAAGCTTCCGTTCTTTCATTTCTCTTAAAGAAAATTGTACAATGGATGAAAAATAAGCATACAGTTTATAGTAATTCTTACTTATATTTTATGCGACATGGTTATAGTAATCTTATTTATTTATTATGTACTAATCTCAGTTATAACTCGCTAATTTTTTTGAAGAAAAAATTACAAAATTTTACTATAAAACAAGTTTTTCTTTAAACTATTAAGCATTTTTTTAAAAAATATTATAAAAGCATTACGAGGAAGTTGAAATAAGAATACACAAAAATTTGGAGCTAAAATATTTATTAAAACATTACGTTTTATTTAAAGTTGCGTAAGATTATTACAAATTTTATTATAAGTTGTGCAAATTATTCACTTAATTTATTACATGAAATAATAAATGTGTGAGAGAAAAAATTATGTCTGAAATGTATTCATAAAATATCTGGGTGAAATTTTTTTTTGAAATCGGAAATCTAATTTATTCCTAGCTTTAAACGTATCCTAGTCGAACGTTCGAATCGCTTCACCAGCAAAATTGTTAAATGAAAGACATTCGATAGTTGGGAGGATTGTTGTTGTTATTGTTAATTTACGTCGCACTAGAGCTGCACAATGGGATATTGGAAACGGTCTGGGAAACATCCCGGAGGATGATCCGATGACATGCCATCACAATTTTGATCCTCTGCGGAGGGGATGGCACCCCCACTTCGGTAGCCCGACGACCTGCGCGCGAAGTCGAGCACTGATAGTTGGGAGGGAAAATAAAGATCGCAACCCTTTGGCAAAATCCGTTTGAAAGTGCGAGGTTACAGGTTTTCCCTAGGTGTAGAAACGGGACGTCAAAATGACGTCGCTTTTATATCCCAGCTCGTTCAATGGTTGCAAGTTTAGAACGGTTCATGCGGATCATACAAATAGTGAATCATACAAATAGAAAGTGCTTGTTGTTGTAGTTCATTTACGTCGCACTAGAGTTGCTGTTGTTGTTGCTGTTGTAGTTGATTTACGTCGCACTAGAGCTGCACAATGGGCTATTGGGACGATGTGGGAAACATCCCTGAGGATGATCCGAAGACATGCCATCACAATTTTGATCTTCTGCAGAGGGGATGGCACCCCCGCTTCGGTAGCCCAACGACCTGCACGCGAAGTCGAGCACTTTACTGTAGCACAGTTTAACGAGGACCAATACCGCACACCCTTGGTCCCTACGCAGACTGATCCTAGTGAGTCACCCACCCGCACACTGACCGCAGCCAATGATGCTTGACTGTGATCTTCTGGGAACCGTGTCCTAATGATCAGTCCACTGCGGGACATAGAAAGTGCAGACAGATGTAAATGAGAATCTGATTGGTGAACAAAACTCGCCAGTCAAATTCTTGTTCGCTAGTCCGAATTTGCATCTGTATAGTTTTGCATGCAATGAGAATATAGTGCTCGCAGTGAGAACGGTAAATTTTGTTGCCACAATTTTCCTATATTTCATTTTTTGTGTCTCTCTTTCTATTTTTGTGACAGAAATAGACAGCCAAAACCATATTAAAATTTTCTCCCTGTTACAACTTCGCTCTTCTTTCGTTTTCTCAACCCGCTTTCTTTAATTTTACTAGTTTATGTTTGACCTTTATGCTTTTTTTTAAAGGAAATATCCCCAATATTCTATTTTCAAAGCAAATACGAGGCATAAAGAAAAGAAAAACCTGTCATCATTGGAATATCAAACATCCTTTTGATGAATAAATATTTTAGGGGATATTTCCTTGCCTGTACCGCTATGCAATTAAAAAATCAACGTAAGCGAAAGAAAATGAGATTTTTATATATTTGGCATCTTTCTATGGTAAGCTACATAATGCGAAAAAAAAGAAAAAATGTCACAAATTTTGTTTTATCAGTTTTTTGAAATTCTATTTTAGCGTTCATAGCATTAGCTATAGAACGAAAATAGCTAACTAGCTACTTTTCTCGAAATAAATCCTGTAGCACTTGCGTTGTTTTTTTAATTGCACGGCAGTTTACCTGTCGTGCCAACTGAAATTTTGTTATTTTCATCCTCCCAGCATGGTTTGTGACCCTTATGTTTTATGTTAAGCAGAGCGTCCAGTGGTTCCTGAACCCGAAGACTTTTCACTACTTTGATGGTAAAATTACCATGATAACAAATTTGAGATACCACTGGATGCATTGGTGAAGTTTCATTCTCTTGTTGTCTCTTATCAACCCTCTAAATTTGTCAGCTGGATTTTGGAACATCCTGCATCAAAGAAAAGCAAATACCATTGATTATTTCTTGAGTTGTAAATATAACTTTCTATCATTATGTTATTAATTGCTTTAATATGTATTACTCTATATTCAGTAATTACCCTGCTTTGTAGGCCAGGAGTTATCAAGATTTTTTGCCTTATTCATCCCTTTCACCAGTGTTGTACAATAATTTCAAATTTCCAAATCTAAAACTAAGAATAAATATTTCTTTAAGATAAGCATATTTTAATTTAAGAATTAAACAATTAAAAATATATAAAATGTTGAATGAAAGTAATTGCTTACATTTATAAACTAATTACTTAATGACTAAATGAAATAAAATAACCTATTATTCCAGTATTGTTCATAGACTTGGGTGCATAATCCTACAAGATTCGTAAATGTGCCCTATCATAGGCTTACAATGAAAAATATAATATGAAACTAAAACACTGTGGTAAAAAGATATTCAGATATTTATAATCATTAATTTCATTTTGGTTTAAAAAAAGTAATTGCAATTAAAAGGTAAAATTAAGATACTAAATTTAAACACTGTATGCACTTATCATTAGAAAATTAAACTTTTTTTTAGAGTAGGAGAAAATAACTCATTATCTTATAGGTAGTAATTATCTTCAAAGTTTATTAAGGGTTATTATTATTTATAAAGTGAATTAAAAAATATTTTAAAAAAATGTTTTAACTCATAGCATTTTTTTTATGGTGAGTTGGCCCTCAAACCTCATGCTCCTGCATGTTGTGAGGATGTTATTTACAGCACTGCATAATTCATATAATAAAAGGTTCCGGTTGATAATCCTGTCTAGGTGAGTAATTGGGACAAAAGCCCCAAGCAAAATTGTTTGACAATGCTTGAAAGAGAAAAAAAAAATAAGGGTAGCAAAAAAAAAAATTTTTTTTTTTTGTAAGTAAACAAATTTTTTAAAAAAAATAACATTCACATAATACGTTGTGAATTTAAAAAAATATTTTAAAACCTGATGTTTTATATTTTAGGATAATTTTGTAATAAAATATTTATAATAGATAATTTTGTAATAAAATATGTATTTTTTATTTATAAAAGAAATTTTGCATGAACATAATTTTGCTTTTATAAAAAAATATATCTGAAATATGTCATAATCCAACAATGAAAGCATCATTGTTAATATTTCTCAAAATATTCCCGCAGTGTAGATTAAATGAATGATGAAACAAACTTTTCACTTTTAATTCTAAGTTTTTTTTTCTAACATATCATTTTCTAATGGTAAGGCAAATCCAGAAAAAAAAGTTTTCCTGACTGTTATGCAGGTTTAATTTAATGAGTAAGGGTGTTCTCATTAACTCTTAAATCTACGTAATTTTCCAACTGGCAACCTCGATTGTCAACCTTTCAAGGCCTATATTGGGTTGTCTCTGATTTCAATGTATTATATTATCGAAACTGTGATATAAGTATATAAATATACTTACTATTATTATTAACTGTGAACTATTTATATGTGATGTGTCTATTTTTTAGGCTATCCAGGCTATTAATATATCCAGGATATATTGAACTTTCGAAAAATCTATGAGAAAATGATTTGATCATCTTTTATTGTGGGAGTATTATCCTTAGAATGTACCCATTGAAAGAATCAATTATTGATAATGACTAGTATATTTTGTAACTAGTTGGTAAGTAAATTTTTTTTTTAAATTGAGAATTTATAGTTATGCAGCAAAGCAAATAGAATAAAATTTTTTTTAGTCTGTGTAATAAATATGCTCATTGTAGACCCTGTGGCAGAATTGCAGCGACACGGCAACATTTTCGCAGAACGTTACAAAGCTCTTGCAAGAAGATTTTTCTTATGAAGAGTTTTAACATTTTTTTTTCTTCACAAATGTACACGTAATATTTTACGACAATGTATCTTAATCGATGTAATGTTTCGATTTTATATTATTGATTATATTACTATTTATTTTATTATTGATTTTCACATGGATTTTTAATATCTCAATGCTTTTCAAACAACATGAAAAATTCGAATCGTGCTTTTGAGTATTTACTTTTTAAGGCAATAATTCTATCGAATTTTTCTCAGTTATTGCTATTGATTTCTTCATAGTTTTTAAGCCCAATCTTTTTTATACGATATCATTTATTGCAACAAGCTAATCTCAAAACAAAACACCCATTTCAGAAATCCGTTTCGGATTTCGCGGATTTTTTTGTCAATATTTTTTTTGGAAATTACTACTACGGATTTCATGATTTTTAATTATTTTTTTTATTGTGATGATTGTTTACAAATGGGAAGAAGGAAATACTTTTTGCGTTCCCCCTCCCACCCCCAACAAAATGTGAGAATATCGCCCATAATATTGGAATAAAAAATTATTACAAGTTCAATTTAAAAAAAAATTAAAAATTTTTTTTGTAAGCGCAGCGCTTTTGATATTTTAAATTAGTAACATATATGTTCGTTATTATTATAAGTATCTTGCAGAGCGATAATAGTGCCAGAGAGTTTTGTCGCTGAAAGCTCGAAAAAATTCTGCCACAGGGATTGCAGATATAAAATAGAATGTTTAAATTTTCTAATTTAATAATTTTTTTATAAGCTAATAAATTGGCTAAAAGAATCAGTATTTTGTAAATATTGCCTTGAATAAAAATTCAGTAAAACTATTCTTGTATTATCAAAAAGAAAATCTAAATGTGTAGTTATTTGTAATTTTTGTAAAACTATTTAAAAGTATGAAGAAAAAAAATTAAGATTAAAAGGAAAGAAAAAGGAAAGTTAAGAAGTAATTTTCTCTCTCTTGCCTTCAATCCACTTTTTTTTCAATGAACATATATTCTATTGTGAAATGCATGTGTTTTTTATTTAAAAAAAATGCTGAAGAGCATAAACTGTAATAAAAAATGATATAAACTTTATTTGGAATACTAGGGTGATTTGGGGTAATTCCTGATGAAAAAAATGCAAACATCTATTTTGTGAAAAAACTATTCAAGATGGAATTTTAATATTTACTGGAAGTTTGAGGCTATACGAGATGAGTCCTATGCTACCTTCTTTTGTTTGAATATCTAATTAGAATTTAAAAGATTTTAAATTTTTAGTGATCAGGTATTACCCCTTCTCTTGATAATTTCTGGAGTAACTCTCGATCAATTCTAAGGTAATTACTGATCACCAGTTTTTATAGTAAAGGGGCTGTTTAAAAATAATTATACAATGGTAATTAACAAATAAGACATCAAAATCAAACAAATAAACCAAAATATATGTTTAAGCAGTTAATAAAAAGATTTATTTAAAAGCAGAAATAAAGATGAACACTTTTAAAGATTAAAAATAAAGGAATAAAGATTAGCGCAAATAAAGATTAAATCTTTGCATTGTGGCATACGTTTGAGGCAAGCTGCCAACTCATTCTCATGTTCTGCTGGAATATAAGAAAGAGTTCCCACATGGGTTACTTTAGTTGGATTTTTTTAACTTCATTAAGTAAGAGTGTAAAGTTAGGCAAAGTATGTCAACAGCTCTGGCAGCAACTCTCACACTGAAATTTTCATTTTCAATCATTAAAAGAAATTCACTAATTTTGCTTACTAGAAGCTAAGTATCCATTTTAGGCTTATAATTTCTCACTATATTTATTAAGCTAATTTATAAACTTAAAAATTATTCTAACAATGTACTCACATAAAATTAAGATCGAAGCAAGGGAAGACAAACTAGAAATGGTGCAAATCAGAACACATTTGTCTTGTATACAGTTAAAAAAAAATTTTGTGATTGCAGTTAAAATATATTTTATAGTTGTTCCGCTTAATAAATATGATCTGTTATTTAAGAAAAGACAATTAGCTATTTTTTATGCTGTTTATAAGAAGACAATGATCAGGAATTACCCCAGTGATCAATAATTACCCCATCTGTAGGGGGAAGCATTTGATATAGTGTCCTATAATCAACTATAATGTTCACAGTAGATTTGAAACAGTTAAACAAAAGCTTACGCTATTTTTATATCAGAGAAAAAGAAAGTAACTCAAAATATTTATTACTAAGAGAAGGAAGGGGATCTTTGCAGAAATGTGCACATTATGAAACCCATCTTTGAAATGGAAAATACAGAAAGCAGTTTAAAAGATACTTATTTTGTTAGATTAAACAAAAAACTATTATTAAGTAAATGTAGTTATACTTTAGTAAAGTGTACAAGCATTCTTGTCCGTGCCTCAAATTGAAAAAAAATTTTTTTTTTAAATATAACTTAGGTGATCATTATTTACCCCAGAAAAAAAGTGATCATGAATCACCCCGGGTCACCCTATATCTTATAATATTCCTGCAAAATATAAACATAAAATTCCATTTTCTGACATTAACTAAATAATTTACATTTTTAAAAAAATAATAGGATAATTTTAGCACATATCAGAGCTTTACACAAATTCAGTAGACATTAAATTTTGCAGTGTCTTATAGCCAATGTTTTTCCGAGTGTCTTCTAAACACCAGCGCAAGCTTTAAAGATTCATTTGTGTCATTACAAGAACCATAAATCCAACTCAACCAACAGTTTCTCATCAAGCGATTCTAAAGGCTGGGCCATCACATGTAGAATTTTTTTGCCTCTCTTTTAATTTCAAATAATTGATGCAGTGTTTAAATGGGTGTTTAAATATCTTGCTGTTACTTGACACATTATTTGTTGTCGAACAAAAAGTTATTAAAAAAGGATAAAATGTTCATTGATCAACACTAGTTAATAATAAGTAGATGGTATAACAAAATTATTATTGTTTTTATTTTAAATAGAATCTTCACTGATATTTTATAACATGTCATTTTTATTGTAGAAACCTTTACCAGATAAATATTGCTTTATGGTTATCTAATTTGGAATGGATCCTACAAATCATATTAATGATCCCCTATTGCTTGACACTGTCAATGATTCTCCTGTTTTACAACTATCTGGTAAGTACAATTTTTTCTTTAAGGAAAAACATATATTTTTTATATCAGAGATAATCATAATAGTTTACTTTTTGTAAAATTGTGTTGGCGTCAACGTTATGTAAATTATGTGAGAATTTAATTAGAAATGTTTCAATGCTTGTTGCTATTGCTTTACTTCCCGTTCCTAAGTGCTTGTTGTTTATTCAGAATTTCACTGTGATCGTCTCGTATTCATTGTCATTCTGAATTAATGTGTTTGTTTTGATGTCGTCATGCTCTTTGTGCTCTGTATCTTATTCATTATTAAAGTAATGTTCATATCAACGTAAATGTCTGAAGTTTTGATTTGCTTAACATTAAGTCGGTCTCCAGCAATATAAAACCATGCCTACTACACACAGTCAATTTGTTCATAATTTTTTAGTTTCATGCTTTTTGTATAAAACTTGTGGCAAGCCAAGAAACCCAGTTAAATCACTCTCATAACTCAAAAATTTAACTATTATTAAAATAAATAAGTAATTATCATAAAATAATTATAAAAATTTATTTCTTATGTGGAAATCTTTGAATAAACAAATTTTATAATTGTCTGCAAAAATTATTAAATTATCTAAATTAGTTTTAGATATATAGAGAAATACGCAATAAGTGTAATCAATATTAAGGAGCCCATTTTGGCCATTCTCCTGCCTAAGCTATTGGAGCTATATTTTCTAGATTTAGAGTGAAAAATTAAAAAGAATGTTTATTTAAAGAAAGTACATTTTTGTTATGTGTTTGATTTTGTAACTCAAAATATAGTCTGCACAAGTATTTAACTAATTTTAGGTTAGTCCTTTCAACCATTAAGATTGAATCCTAGGTTGTGAAAATAGAATTATTAGATCAAAACTTGTTAATGTGTTCTTCTTTTAGTTTTGCACACTGTACATTTTAACATTAAGAGTTGTTCCTTACTTAATATGGTAAGATATTTTTATATTCTTAACCTTGAGATAGCTATTAGAAGTCTTTTAGTAGAGAAAGTACCTATCTCTTTTTAAGAACAATTACCCCATACATTTTATCTTTTATTTTGCCTTATTCATCTGGAATCATTCTTTTGATCTGTAAATTCATGTTTAATTTATTTTCAGTCTGGATAGTTGAAGATGTAGGATGATAGGAAATATTGGCTTCAAAAAACTATAAAAAAAGTATTTCATTCTTCATCTTTTTATGTTAATTGCTTGCCTTAATTATAGCTTTAATTATTCTTTTAATTTTTGTTTTGCTTTTTTAATGTTATTGTAATTAATATTAGGCAACAGTTTGCTTTTTTGATTACTTCTTGAAAAGGATTATTGACAAATTTTAAATATTTATGGTTGATTCATTTGTTTGTTTATTCTTTTGATATATTCTAATTGTTCCTTCTTTTACAATATATTGTCTTTTATAACTTAAACTTTTGAAAAATGGAAGGTTGTATTTAGATAAAGCATTGCAACTTTTGAAATTAGTTACATTTTTAAAAAGTCTGATTTTGAATTAATGTAGATAATCCTGGTTAACTAAACTTAAACCAGTATTACGATATAACTTAGAGCAATATTACTCTGTAAGAACTATGAATTGATAACTCGTAATTTTAATGTTATTTATTTCCAATAAATTAGTTACTTTAATTTTTTATCAAAATATAGAAACATTGCATAAACATTTGTTTTAAGTGTGCTTTCCGCAAATAGTTAGTCCACACAATAGTGTCAGTTAGTCCACCCAATAGTGTCAGTTTTAATAAAAATATATATCCTAAGTATTTTTAAGAACTGTCTACTATACTATTGTATCAACTGTTAGATTACTATTAAAGTTAGTCTCTTTAAGTATGGGCTTAACTTCAACTTAAGTAGCACTTTCAAATAGAAACTGCTGGTGGAAATGTTTTTATTTCGGACTTGCCTAAGTATACAACTTTATTCATTTTCTCGGTTTTTTAAATTGCTCTGTTTTCACCGAGAATGCAACTACTTTAGATTCGCCATAGTTTTTGCACAATTTTGCCTTTTACTATAGATCTAAAAATTATAACTTTTTCTACAGATAAATCAGATTTAGAACTTTTTGCATATTTTTATTGCTCAGATTTGAGATAAAAAAGTTGCAGTGCAAGATTGGTAATTGTTCTTATATTCATGGTTTTTGTGATTTGAAATATTCTGTCCTAATTTTTAACTTTTTGACTTGATATTTGAGTCTTTTTCTATTAATGCAAATTTAGGTTTTAAAATAATCAACTTGAAGAATAAAGGAATTATATTATGGATCCAGCATTTTCTTATTTTAGCTAATAATATTGTTAAAAATTGTAAAATTTGATAGTTCAGGCTTAGGGATTGCCAACTAATTATATACACTGTTTAGGTATTTTGTCTTGCCTTAGATTTATTGCTTTAAACATTTTGGTAATTCTGTCATTTTATAAAAAAAGAAAGTCAATTCTAACAATTTACATTATAAAATTTTTATGGTGATTAATTTGCTTACTTATACATATATTATTATGCTTATTTATCTATAATTTTCTGCACTAACAAATCTTTAAGGGCGGAGTTTGTAATATCACAATTATTGATTCGTTTCTCTTAACCTTTTTAAAAATTATCCATTCTAACTAACAATACAGTAGTCATATCATAGATTTTTTAAATGATAAATTAGGGACTCTCCTCAAAATTAACTTAGTGCAAAAATGTTAAGCAATGTTATTTTCATTTTGAGATTAAATCCATCGATTTCAAATAATCTGATTATAGAAATCTTGAACTTGATTATAAGTTATAACTAAATATTGGTATGTGGAAATAGTATCTAATTGTTTCAGTTTTTTTATGAAACATTGCTATTAGTTTTTTTTATACATTGATCTCAAACTAATATGAATAGTTAATTAAGTGCTTCATTTGCAAAATTATACTAGAAACTTTTTGAAGTTTCTGTTTTAAGTAAAATTGTATATTCTTTTGCTGTCATTTCTTATTTATTGCTTTCCAATAATGTGTTTGCTGAATGTTAATTTTTTAATTATAATTTTTTTGTATATGAATCTGACATTTTCAATTGTTAAATATATAATATAATACCAGTGCCTGTACATAATTTTTCTACTATCTTTTCACCTAGATTTCCTTCTGATGATCAAAACTGTATATATATAAATTTATTTTTACCATTTTCTATTTTAAATTTCATATAATTAACTATCTTTTTTAAAAAAATTTTATTTGTAATAGTTCCAGTTCTTGCACCTATAATTTTTTTAAAGATACTTTTTAAATTAAAAGTTTAATGAAAATTTAAGATTCTAATTTTGTTTGTACATGTTTTTATGTTATCATTTTGAATCAATATGTAATATTTCATAAAATTATCTTAATACTTCATAACAATGTCTTACATTCACCAAAACATATTTTATTTTGAAACTATTCAAAGATATTGATCTAAACTTCAAAATATATTAGGCAACTGCAATTTGAAAAAGGTGTCCCCAGTAGTTTTATCAAGAGTTATGGGTTCTTAATGTTATTTTTACACTAACAGTTCAAATAAAAGAATTCTTGCAAATATAAATTTGGGTGTGAAGCTTATAAGCACGTAATTTATCAAATTAAAAACCTTGAGGTAGGTTACGTATAATAAACTTAAGTTCTTATTTGTAACTTAATCAATTAATAAGTTCTTATATGTAACTTAATTAAAGTAATATTACTAAATTATAGAAAATTTGTGGGCTTATTGGGATTGATAACGATCCTCTTAAGTAAAAATGAGAATCATGTTTCAAAGCTGCGAGTAAATATTAAATAAGTACATATTAAATAAATACATATTAAATACTGAATAAAAAATATATATTTCATAGTTTAATATTTTTTTCTATTGCATTCTACTAAAACATATCAAATGAATTAGTGCTAAAAAATGTCTTTTAACTTGATTTTAGTCAATTTAACTTACAATCTTTGAAATAAATTTTACTCAGTTCAAAAAAGCTATAGAAAACCAATTGTTGAGCTTTTTTTTCATGTATACAAAAAAATATAACCATTGAACATGTGTACAATAACCATATTGTTAGAACATGGACCACAGATCTTTCAAGTTCTTCTTGTACTAAGGATTCCTCAAGAAAAAATTTTTAGAAAATGAGATTTTCTTTTTTGAAATCTTTTTAGTTTTTTTTTCTCTTTGTAAAGTTAAAAACTATTCCCCATTTTTCACATTTCTTTTAGTGAACATTTTATTAAAGGGAGAGTGAATTTGGTGTAATCTATATCAAATGGAGAGGCTTTTAACAGTTGGAGTTCTTGGTGATTTCAGTAAATGAATTGTGACTCATCACTACTTTTATGTATGTACAATTCTGCAAGTAAACCAAAGAGGAAGGTGTATGTAATTTTGCCTATATGTATCAAAATGTGATCAAATTATTTATTCTAACTTGTAATGTCATCTTATTATTATTATTTTAATTATTCTCTCTTATTTGTTTTTATTTTAGCACTATCCTATTGGATTACACTTAACCTCTTCACTCCGTAGGTCCACATATGTGGACTTCATAATCCCTGTTTGTAAAACTCTCTGAAGGACTACTCTTGTTTTTATTTTAGCACTATCCTATTAGATTTCACTTAACCTCTTCACTCCGTAGGTCCACATATGTGGACTTCATAATCCCTGTTTGTAAAACTCTCTGAAGGACTCTGAATGACTAAAACTCTCTGAAGGAATGGCGACTTCTTTGCGTCCTCGAAAATGTAAGTAATTTTCAGTATTTTAAATATTATTTATAGATCCAATAAAATTATTTTTAATTAACTTAATCTTTCAACATCTTAGAATAGTTTTGTTTGTAAAAATGTTTTATTGAAAATCTGTGCCAAGAATTATAATTAGGTACACATTTGTGTAACTTTGTCCCCTATGTTTAAATTATTGTAATATGATAGAAGTGTGTTAATGAATAATTATCGTTTAAATTGTGATTTAATTATTGTTTAATAGTAAGTAATTATTGTTTAAATGCATAAGTATGTTAATTATTTGTTTTTTTTTACTCAATTAATTTGTTCTAATTATCGCTATTAGAACATTATATTAGAACATTGTACAATAGTTTAACAAAAACTAAACATTAGTAAGCTGAGTTATTATCTTTAGTAAAGCATTCTATGTTAATAGATGTATTACTTACATGAGCAATATTATTTTTTTTACTTTTATATTTTATTCTGAATAATGTGCCGGCTTTGTCCTAGTTTAAAATAAATTGGTTGGTTTTATAAACTGCTACTAAAAATTGATGTAACTATTTTTTAAATGTGGATAATAGCACATATTTGACAATAGTATCTAAATTATAGATTTGTAACAACAAAATAATATAAACATTTGTGTATATGGGAAATAAAACTTGTATTAAACTTGTTGGTTATAAATTGTTGAACTGAAACTGCTGTTTTTACATGAATGACCAAAGCTTTTTATTTCTAGAAATCACAGTATAAGTGCTCTCTTGTGTTAATTGTAAGGGTGGTGAAAATAACTATCTTAATACAAAAACACATATCTACATGATTTTCATCACTTACTTATTACTAAAATAATTACTAGCTGTTTTATTGTTATTATATACTGTTTTGATTGTTCAATTAGATTGTTTATCTATTTATAAAATTAGAATTTTATATATATTTGTGTTGCTTGATGGTGTATATCTTTGTTGAAAAGGGAAAATTAAATTCCTTATTTCATACTTATTTTTATGTTTTTCCTTTTGAAGTTTGAAAGGTGTTCTTATAAAATCTTTTGTCCAATTCTCCTTTTTTTTTTAAATGCAGGTCAAGTTTAGAAAAACTTTTCTTTCTTAATTTGTTAATAAACCCAAGGTGGAACCAGCTCAGCATCAATATAGCATGTCTGGCATTGTTACTAAAGCAGTTATAGTGTTTAAAAATGTGATGTATGTCACAAAATAACCAAGGTTCATGTTGAACTGTGTTCAATATTTTTTAAAAATTTTAACTGTGTTTTTTTTTCTTTATTAAAAAAATGTAATTGTTTTAGCTCACTCTGATAAACCATTGCTTAAAATGTAAATGATTTTGTTGAACTATGTTATAAAATTTCTTTCTGACCTCATATGATGAAAGTTTGTTATAATCTTTTACAGTGAATGTCAGGAACAAACTATATACTATTCCCCATTGATAATATTGCATAATTTATTCCACGGTGCAATCAGTTTGATAAGTGGGGAGTAGGTTTATTTTTGTCACTAATGCTAGTCTATGGGCCACATGAAAGATTGTATAAGCATTTTGCTTAGATAACATTCCATAATAATTTTTCTAGTTTAATTTCACAGCTTAAAAATTTTGTCATGTGTAATTACTTATCACTTCATTTCATATTTTAGTTTATTATTTCATTTGCTTTAGTGTATGTTTTTGATTTGTAATGTTTTGTAAGCTATGTGATTTGTTTCTCTATAATTAAAATTGTATTAAAAATTTAGCTATATAATTAAAATCTATTAGTGTTATTTTCAAGTTTTCTGTTTTTACCTCATATAGGTACTGTTATCAGTAATATTAGCTATAATATCAATTCAAACAACTTACTATTTGATTTTTTTTGTTTAAAAGCTTATAGTGTGTCAAGTTTTTTTAAAAAAATTTCAAATATGTTATTTTTATTCATTATTCCTTTAAGTGTAGAGCCCCTGGGTAAAATTATACAGATATTTTCCTGGTATGTTTCATTTTCTCATTATATAACATGAAGAAACCAGTTTTTTGGTGTAAGAAACGTAACTGAAAGTTTGGAAAAATCCTGGACTAACTCTCAGAGGGTTAAAAATGTAATACTGATAAACTATTCTTTAAAATGTCTTAATAATTGTTAAATTTTCGATCTCAAGTTCTCATATACACATTCATACATCAATTTTAAAGTATGACCTGACTTTGCATTTAATTTTTTTAAATCTGTGGTGTGTTAAGTTCCACAATTTTAATAGAAATTGTTCACATTTTATATATGTACTTTTTAAAAATTTTGTAATATATGTATATATTAAATAAGTATGTATATTATATTGTTAAGAGTTTAAATATCTTTTAAAAACTCTTTATTCTGAAGTGTCTTTAAGTGCAGTATTTAGAACTTCTTGTTAAAGTTAAAACACTATTTTGAAATAAAGAAGTTTTATCCTTTTTTTATTTATCTTTATTGTATTCATTTTCACCAAGCGTTTTCAATTGCATTTGCTGCTCATTATTTGCTCTCTGATTTCATATTGTATGGTGAAAGTTGTTTGTTTTGGCAAGTCATAACTTTTACAATGTCCCTGGGAAATAGTATCAGGAATACCCTGTTTACTGTTTCCCATACACTGTATTTTATAATTTATGTATAACTGCAATAGTTCAATTAGCTTGATAAGTGGGGAGTAGACTCATTTTGATTGTAATGGTAATCTATGTGAAATATGTGTATTCATTTTTTTTTTTTGTCCAAAAATTCTGAATTTTTTATTTTAAATCATGCATGTGAAAAATGCTATGAGCTATACACATATCCTAAAGATCTGCCAGGATATTTAAAACTAAATGGAAAAAAAAAATACTAGTCACATATTAGGTTATTGGTTAGGTAAATACTCAGTGGTGTAGGAAATGCAGGGCTCAAAGTTGTTTTTAAATTCCTTAAAAAAAAGAAAGTGTACTTAGTAAGCATTTCAACAAATGTCCTGAAATGTTCGTGATTTTTCCAAGTTTTTGTTGAAGTTAACAGGAAGAAAAAAAATTATTGAAGAAATTTCAAATTCAAAAATTATGTTATATGTCATATAGCACGTGTGTGCTTTAAAGTTAATAACATGCTATATTTAAATTGCGTAATTAAAAATTAATTACAAAAATAAATAAGAATAAAGAAAGGTTTAAGTTAAAGAAAAATTTAATTTACCACAAAAACATATAATGAAAACTTACATTGTAAAGGATTAGATAATTGTAAAGAAGGGTTGAGGAACGCGTCCTCTCTCCACGCGAGTCAGTTTGGAAGTGAGTATGAGGGGGGTTTACAACCGGTTATGCTGGCTGGATTTACCTCACTTCAGTTTGTTTTGGAGTGGTCAGGAGGATTGTCGAGGTACATACTTGGGGACTGGGTGTTTGCCGAGGCACACCACATGTCATGAAGCAAAGTAAATAACAAAATAAACGTCAAAGTCTTCATAGCACGTCAAGTAGGATATTAATCTTTTTCTAGTATTAGAGACAATTACTCTTGATTTGATGGCATAAAAGCATTTGATGTGGGAGAAATATATCAAAAGTTCTTATCTTTCTACTCCCTCCTCATCACTATATCATACTCTACTGTTTTTCACAAGAGAATCCTTGTATTTTGTTACTACTTAACAATTTTTTATATTTAGACTATTTTCCCTTTTTTTTGTATAAAAAAAGATTGCATAACTTAAAAAAAAATCTGAGTTTTTTAAAATTGTTTTTTTTTTCATTTAAGTGCAGGAACTACTTAAACTATTACCAATTGTATATCTGAGAATCCATGTTGGTATTACAAAGTGCTCCCGTTAGAGAATCAGCATCCTTAAATTGTCCTTAAGGCAATCTTGTCCTTAATATTTATATTTTGGACTTCCAATCCTGGAATTGGGTAACTGCCCCTTCCTTGAAAAATCTCCCAAACCAGGCAAATTTATAGTTTTTAGTAATCTTTAAAGTAGGTAACCATGGTTAGTCCTGATTATAGTTCTGAGAATAGTATAAATGAAGACCAAGAGAGAAGAATAGTTTATATCCATGAAAACTAATTCTGAGAAGAAACGAATTTCAAAGTTTGAAACTTTTCAGGAACAAGCATATGATTGAAATTGTAAAAATAAAAATTTACACGACTATTTCCCTCGAAAATTTCAAAGCAAATTTTAAAATTTTGGATGTTGAAAAAAGCTAGTTTTAAAATTAGGTTGGGCAAGAATTTGTACTTAATTTAAATTCAAGTGATCATTTTCTCATAATCTTAAATTAAAAAACAACACCCAGCCTAAATAACTTTTGATATAATGATCAGATCTTCACTTTCTAGGATTCAATCTTAATGGTTCAAGGGGATGACCTCAAATATGCTAATTAATTACTACAGACAATATTTTAATATAGAAAATCGGACGCAAAAACGAATTTTCTCTGAATAAATACCTTTTTTTTCTTGATTAATTCCGATTTCTGACTAGTATCATAAAGATACGGTTCACAGTAAAACATCGAATCAAGCATCACTGGCTGTGGTCAGTGTGAGTGATCACTTCTATCAGCCTGTGTAGGGATTGAGGTTGTGCGGTGTCGGTCCTTGTTTAACTGTTCTACCATAAAGTGCTCACTGTTCTATCATAAAGGGCGCCCGCAAGTCATCAGGCTTGCAAAGTGAAGGAGCCATCCCCTTTGTAGTGGATCAAAATTGTGATGCCATGTCATTTTTTCATCCTCAAGGATGTTTCCCTGATCATCGCCGATAGCCCATTGTGCAGCTCTTGTGCAACGTAAATAAAGTACATACCTAGTTAGAAAGCAAATTTTGGGGCACAATCTTGGGTTATCGGAAAGGAACTAAAGTTTAAATGTCTAAGTTTATATGTTAAAGTCCGCACTGATCTTTTTAATGAATAATATGTTACCTGTTGGGAGTTTGTAATAGTTATTGAATACATTGCAGTAAAATTTTATCCAGCAGTAGCTAGTGCCCTCAGCTCTTTATGCTAATTATGAAAATGGCACAAAATTTTGATATTTTTTGAAAAAAGTCTAGGTTTTTTTGTAAAAGAAATGTAGTTTGGATACAATTTTGTAACATTTCAAAAAATATTTCAATACATAGTTTGACATAAAAATATGCAAAAATTAGAATTATTAATTGAATTAATAATTTCACAATTGTTGGCTCACGAACCTTTAAAGGTTTGTGAGGTGCATAAAGGGGGTTCGTGGGGAATTTTTTATAACTAATATTAATTTAGGTATCTATGTTTCTATACTATATTTCAGAAAAAGTTAAAAAATCGATTTACTTTTCTTGATCATGTGTGTCTGTCTTCTGCTTGTTTATTTAATATTTTTCGGCTGCAAAAGCTTACATACTTCTCTATATTTTGCGAAATAATAAATTTTGCATATTAATTATAATAATTAGTAAATAAATTAAATCAAAGCACATGTGTTTTATTACGACGTATAAGTGTCACTATTTTCTGTATGCACGCTAAATTTGGATTATTTTTTGCAAAACAAATATATCTCAGATAGGATTATTTGCATGAACTTGCATAAAAGGTAAATGCAGACCACCTAACTGAAACTGTCTGATATAGAGCTAAACTTTTAATTTCTTTATTACGTCAGAAGTAAGTTGTTACCGTTTTAAATTTTTCAGTTTTGTTGGGAAATGATTTAAAACTTCGTTTTCCAATTAAAATATTTGACACTTTTGGGTACTTCATATCTCTTCAACTAATAGTTTTTTATAATTTAAATAATTAAATTTGGACTTTCATCTTCACTGTGCATAATAGATTCAACTGTTTTAATTTCTGGAATTTTTTCATAGCCTGACTTTTTAAAAAACAATTTACTAAGGTTCTTTGTATTTTTGGATAATTGGTAAATCATCGTCGTACAGTTCCTAATAGGTGAAATATGTAGCGATTTGGTACATTAAAATTGAAGAAAAAAGCGCTGAAAACATATGCATTTTTTTTTCATAGTGCAAGATAGAAAAACGTTTCAATTTACTTGCATTCTGTTTATTTTTGGATTATTGTTATTTATTTGCCTTTTACATTATAATGGAATAGCTTCTTATAAATCAAAACTCTTTTATGATTCATCGGCAGGTGATTTAATTCTTACAGATGATTTCTAGGAGGGATTTTAACTCCTCAAACACCGCCTTAGCTGATGCACAGTCTGGTAAAACAAAACTAAATTGATTTTTTACTATAGTTGCAGAAAATTTAAATTATAATATGAAATAATATTTTGAAAATTACTTTTTGTAAAATTAATTATATTTTATAATTATAATTGTATTGTAAAAATTATTGTAATAATTTTTTTGTTTGCTTATAATAGTACGCTGCTTGTTATGATAAAGTTCAAGATTATTTGATTCAAACTCTTACAAAAATCTTATCTTTAATTTCTTATTTCATCTAATGATAAGTACCAACGAGTTTTTGTAGGTACTTGCAGGTTCTCTGAATTATCAGATTAAGAGATTAGTTATGAACTTAAAAAAAAGTTCAATGCAAAGCATGAATCGAATGTCAATGATAATACACGTCAATGATAAGATTTCACCCGTTGAAAACGTGTTCGAAGATTATTCTTTAGGAGACAATTTAGACATGGGTGTAAACTGCTTCTACATTTCTAACAAGCAAAGATAATTGTTCGAACTGATTATATTGTCATTTACATCGCTCTTAGATCAATCTTGACAAAAATTTTTGAAATGCGAAAAAATAAAAATTTCAGAATCTATTTCGAAATGTCTATGCACGCATTTTCGTAATACAATTATATTCCTCAATCTATCGCTATGGCTCAGAAAACCTACGTGTAAGGAAAAATGAGATCCATAAATTTGAAATCAATAATTTTTTGTCCCGCAGTGGACTGATCGTTAAGACACGGTTCCCAGCAGATCACCGAAGTCAAGCTTTACTGACTACGGTCAGTGTGCGGGTGGGTGAGCTTTTGGATCAGTCTGCGTAGGGACCGAGGGTGTGCGGTATTGGTCCTCGTTAAACTGTGCTACCGTAAAGTGCTCGACTTCGCGCGCAGGTCATCGGGCTACCGAAGCGGGGGTGCCATCCCCATTGCAGAGGATCAAAATTATGATGGCATGTCTTCGGATCATCCTCCGGGATGTTTCCCAGACCGTCGCCAATAGCCCATTGTGCAGCTCTAATGCGACGTAAATTAACAACAACAACAATAATTTTTTAGTTTGCGCTGAAAACAAGAAATGTATTTAATTACTTTTTTTTAAAAAATTAAAATAAATTGCTTTATTATTATATCACTATTGTTCATAAAATATATAGTAAGGTTGGAGGAACAAAGGAAATAAAATAGATGTTTTTTAAAGCATTTGTTTTGAACGATATTGGTAAACTTTTACCTTTTTTCACCACA